TTACTTGTCATTGAAGTATTACTGTTATTTAATTAATTGTAAAGAGATAAGTGACCATAGTATAGTTATGTAAACAATGGAAATTTTAATTGCAAATAAATATATCTATAATTTAAACTTGACAATATGTCAACATAGCTTCAAAGCTGTAACTTAGAAATTAGGTCATATATCCAATTTCTATTGATTGAAAAACTTTAAGAAACTTTTCTTTTTTTAAAATACCGATTTGTTTGTTAAATTATACAAATTACATAAAAGCTCAATATGTTAATGTAATATGTAATATAGGGTATAGAAGAAATGATACAGTATGTATAAATATGAAACAACACTTTAACGGTTTAAAACGCGATATATTAGGTAAACTTATTTTTAACTTCGGCCCGACGTTTCGGATGCTTTGCAGCAGCCGTGACCACGGGGTTTTCAAATAAGTTTAACTAATATGTCGCGTTTTAAACCGTTAAAGTGTTTTATTTTAACGTGTACTACTCGCGTAAACTATAGACAGTATTTAACAACACTTTAATTAAACCCAATCAACGGTTTAAACGGAAAATTACCTTCTTTTTTGGTTCGGACTTTACATTATTTTTTATCAACGAATGTTTTAATTGCGTTCAGCGTTTGTTAACTGCTAATCGTTCATCATCGATGACAAATCGAAGAACGTGATCGCTGATCTCACATCGAAACAATTGAAGTATTGATAACTCGAATTCCGTAGACAACACGACAATAAACAGATAAGCCCTGTTTATCGTTTATCAATGGGTTTCTATTACGCAGCCGTGCGTAATTCTTTATTGCTTTGTAATCGCTGGAAAATATCATAAAACAAATACTTACTCTTCCTGACATCATACATGTATTTTATTATTTATGACACCACCAAAAATTTAGGATGGGAAGGAAAATTAAACATTACATCGGGCTTTATAAGTATTTTCGTGGTATTCTTCTTTTACGAGTACATCTGAAATAAAACGGTATTAAACGCGAGATAAATAATTTGATTTATATTTAACTATGACGGATGATTGATGTTTTGTTAAATCTGGTCTTATCGACAAAACCGTAATCATAAAAATCAACATTTAACTAATGTAACAAATAATAATAAAAAAAGGAAAATTAACGAGAAAGCCCTTACATATAATTTAAAAAAAAGTTATTCAATGAATGTAAGATATTTTATTATATTTTGCACAATGCATGAAAAAGCTTTACGTATATAAAAAATTATATTCCATGAGATTTACCAACGATTATATTTAACACTATTCTCTCTTAAAGGTCTCAGTAGTAAAAAAAACAATAATAATTTTAATTATGACACCGTGTCATTCCCATAGATACATGACGTTGACAGAATACTAAGAAGAAGAAGAACACTACTTACTCCGTCATGTCAATTGTCAAACTTTTAACTCTATTATTGACGGTGTGTTATATTGGACTGGACTCTAATACATTAAACAAGATCATGATTTTTATGTGCTTACGCAATGCATGTAGTTTACGTATTAATCTATTTTCTCCGCAGGCCGCACCACATTATCCGTAATAAATGAGCAGAGGAGAGATTTAGGCGCGTTTTTTTTCGTGTGAAATGTAATGTAAATAATTTGTCTAAGGATACATCAAAGAGTTACTCCTGAAGTTCACCTGAAATATCAAAAACAATAAACAAAAGAGTGAGTAAGTGACCTCGAGTTCGGAATATGTAAAGCATATTGCACTAAAATGGGCTAGTGTATTTTTATTCTTTAGTCACGTTTTATTGGTGGTTCGGTTCGAAGTATTGTGAGTAATCATAACTACATACATACTGTCCTAGTTTTTTGATGTTACGATGTGGTAAGTCCACATCGTAACATCAAATATATCATATTTTTAATTTCTTCCTTACATTCCTCATATGGGATAAGTATTTTGTCTAATGCAGAAAAATATATTTTAAGCAAGGATTATTATTCGATTATATGGACTTACCTTGACGGTATCTATACATATATTTGAAGCAACTGAAACATGAAGGGATGAATTTTATATCATGTATCCTGTAAGCAATTTATTTTGAAATTGAACTCATAATTATAAAAAGATAGTGCTTTCAGACCACGTAAGCCATCGACTTATGTTCAGTACCTGTTTGAATTTTGTCGTCTTCAAACATACTATTATAATCAAGAACTCAAAAATAAATCTGTATCTATTGTTGTAGCAGAGCGATGTGCTGCCACAGAAAAGTATTTATATGTGTGTGTTTGTTTGTGTTAATTGTATTTTATTTATTAACCTTAAATAATGGTGTACAAACGTGTGGAATAATTATTTGAATTAAAAAAAAGGCTACATTATAACGCGGGTAACACCGTAGGGCGTATCTAGTGTGTACAAAGCGATCAAAGTTTGTTGCTATAGTGAGTGACGATGGAGTGCTTCGCAGTCATGAAGTCACGCACATACCTCGTCTTTACGACCACAAGTGAAGGCTGTCCCCTCTTGTGGTCAGGGCCACACACAATGTAGGACAACTCATTATTTGGTGTTAAAACGTTTGATAGTGTAAAGATTTAAGCTAATATTAGATGCTAATATTGATCGTCTGCGATCCTGGCCTGTTGATTGATTTTTTATTGTTAAAATCTTACGTAAACAGTTTCTACGACAGCTAGTTTTACTTGCTTATTATTCTTACATGGTTATATAAAAAATGTATTTTACCTTGAAGTCTTCTAATACTGCTAATATAAGTTAAAATAATATTCATATCTCTCAACTTAGTAATCTCTCGATGTACATCTTGTATAACGAATTTGGCAAAACCGAAGGGAATATATGTATATATGTACGTATGTATTTTCCAGTCTTCCTATTAGTTACATAACCAAATTATGTAAAGACATTTTGTTCTTGGTATTTAAAAAAGCCTAAAAAGCTAATGGAAACACTATATGCATGCATATTTTTAAAACCTTAGTTATATATTCGTGTATACATACTACTAGTTTCTATCTCATGAATTGTCCATACACAAAGCTAAAAGCTCTGAGCTTTTGAAATTATTTTCTGAACTTTGGCGGAACACTGGCCTCCTATTTTCCGTTACTAAAACGAAAACTACGTACAAAAATGGCGATTCACTCGAATCGCCATTCTTTCGCTTAAGTTACAACAAAAGAGAAAATTCAAATTCCTTAAATTCTTTTGAATACAATGGTTAATACGTAATCAATACCCATTCATTTTCTAATGAATCAGATTCTATGTACGCGAAAATATTTCTTTAAAAGACATAAGGTACAAGCTTAACCTGAAATGTTAACTTTAATACAATTTATTTGGTTCTGAAAATCCTGTCACACGATTTATGCTTTTATAGTCAACTTCAGCCAGTATCATAGTTCAGTACTACGTTTAATGAAGTACCTATTTTTTTAGATTTAAAGAATTTATTCTATTATTTTGAATGATTCTATGAATATTTATGACACTTACAAACACTTATGAGATTATACATCCCTTTCGTTCTCCATTTCTATGTTAAATAAACGTTTAGTAATGTTGGTTTAAATGTTACTCGCAACTAAAGAGAACATATGTCTACGAGTATTACATTTCTCCGGGAAAACATAGCCAATTTTCCAACTGAATGGAACCGCGGTGAAAACCAAGTAGGTAAATTAATAATTAATATGACATATTCATATCAGTTAGAACCACAGAGTGGTTTACCGTAATTATACACAATATGGCAATGCAATAGCTGTCACCGCGAAATTTTCTAACATTCATTTCCTAACCGCGATAAGAACTGAAATATGTATGAGTATTTTGTAAGTTCATAGAAGCGGTCTTTTATTGGGTCGTAACTTATTTACCAATAAGAGGAAGAAAATCATTATTTAGTCTCAACATACACGTTGCTAAAACATACGTATTCACTACTATTGTGATACCTTGTTTTCCTCAGTACAATGGGCGAACATATTTCTGTGTCCCTTTGGCAGATCTTCTTTGTAGACTTCAGTTCAGACTGTGCCCAAAACGTCTGAACAATAGTTATTGTTTCCTCGGAATTCAACGCCAGGACCTTTCGTGGTAGGTTCGTCATTGCATAGCGTTCAATCATTGAGCTACAGAAACGGTTAATCCCAGATATGTATTTTTTTCAGTTTTCAGTTTTTTTTAATCTGTGAAAATTTCGGTTAAATGTGTGTGTTGGACCCGATGGGGATATAATCATTAGAGAAAAAAAAGAAGAAAGTCTAAAATAATTATTTATTATAGAACTTTATCGTGTTGTATTTGTTAACATGTCTACGGCCTATTCTTTATTACTTACATGCACATGTGAAAATAATAATTTCAGAGTTTACAAGAGATCAAATATCATATTGTCTGGGTTGTAATTAAGCAATTAAGAAACAATGCTCTCACGCACACAATTGGCTAAACGCCTGATTCAGCGCCCATATGTTTCTATCCATTGCGTAAAATTAATGAATTATGTTTTTTTTAACCCTTTTTATTGGGTGACAAAGGTTTTGGTCTGGAGAAATTTTCAAATCAGATTTTGTTAGTAAACTTTGTTTTTCATACTAAAATAAAATATGAATTAAGTCAGACACACAATTACAAAGAGAATTAAAAAAACTGAACTACTCTTTAAATGTATATGGTTTATACATGACAATTTTATCAGTGGATAGCGTTGAAGCCGGAGTGGTGGTAGACATACATTGCCATGATTACACCAACGAACCTCTCAAAATCAATCGATCAATGTTATTTTTTTTAAGCGAGAAGAGCTTCTATTTTATTAAAAGTCATTTGGACTTCAAAGATTCTTTTTTTTTTGAAGAGATTTCTTTTCCGATAATCTATTATTAATAAGAACACTAATGTGTTAATATACGTGGGTTACAAGATTTCAATGTTCATTTTATTTGCAAAATTGTCATTACAATGATACAACATTTTATTTTCAGAACGGTTTCGTGGAGTGCCGAAAAGGAGTCGAAGAGTGTGGTCCCATGGAGGACTGTGCGGTAGTAATGCCGCGGGAGGGGTGTTGCGCTCGCTGCAAGGGTTGCTGGTACAACGGCACCGACTACGCGTCCCACACCGAATGGGGGGATAGCGGGAAGGTGTACCGCTGCGAAGCTGGAGTAGTCACTATCTCGCGACCTGAATGCTATGCGCCGTGTGATAACCCGAAACATCAACGACACTACAATTGTCCTGTTTGCGACGGTAACTTTTTTTTTGTATGTATGTCCGAATCTTGCGCGTTAACGAGTTTTCAAACGAATCGTAAGGGCCATAGACATCTTATACAAATTAAAGACCTACTACAATTTACTTAATATGCTTTCAACAATCTTTCCTTATTTTAGTTTGTCTGTTAGGTTCTTTTTATGAGTTGATAAACGTTAATATAAAGGCTACTGACCATTATGAAGGTGAAACAAAGAACATCTCTAATATAAGGATTCTGCTATACAAAATACGAACTAGCTTACATCCTAGCTATATCATAATAGATCACCCGTTTATTACAGACAAAATCAAACACGAAAATAAATAGTAAAAAAACATGTAAGTATTATAAGTTACTGTATATTTGTTTCAATTCAAAGAAGTATTGAAGCGATAATAAAACAAAGTGCAACGAGTACAATCCCCATTGTGTGGTGCATTTTCTCGTCCAAGAATGCACGCACACAGCCGCATATAATGAATCTGCTTCGACTGGCGCGCGCCTGTCTCACGGTGCGCCCACCCAGACACCCGACCGGCCAAAAAAGCCCCATAATCCCGTTCAAAAACAAACACGCCGACATGCGAACTCAATAAAACTAAAAGTTGAGTAATTTACGTTCGCTCCCGAGCCCTAACAAGATTATTAATTCCAAATCAAATAATAGTAATTTTCGTGATGACGGCACAGAAACGCTTTTGAAAATGGCCGACGCATTCCGGCCTAGGGATTTTATTGCCAGTTCACTTAATTCATTATACAATACACGTCGGTGGAAACGAGAAATATATTTTACTTTATTCGCCGTCTACTAATGCTACATTGCTTTACCAATACTCATAATATAATAATTGAGATAAAAAAGTAGGGATTACTTTTATAGGGGGGTGAGGTGTGTGTGTGTTCTATTTTCGTAAGATTATAAAGTAAATGAAATATGTATTTAGGAATCATCATTAAGTCATACTTGAGTGTTGGCAAATTGAAATCGGTTCAGCCGTTTCGTCCCAGATTAATTATGATATAAATATTGTTTTAATTCCAACACAGAATTATTACTAATGGTAGTATTTTTGTCAATTCTTTTGTTTAAAAATCAAAAGTCGGCCGCAGATCGCCCACGCAGTGATGTGGTTACTGGTTTACAATAGTATAATAATATAGGTACTGACAAGATGTTGCGCAGTAGCAATTACTCTAGCTTCAAACAATAGACTACTCAAGCATGATGTCCCATTGATACCCTGTAGGTATTTAAAACATATTTTCATTGCATTTAATAATATTTTTATCCGACAAATGAAATGATAAGAGAGAGAGTAATATTTTTATTTATACTTTTTCGAAGTTAAACATTCTTTATGTTTTGGTTGGACTATTTATTGAGGAAATGTATATTCTATATAACAGGCTGCGACCGGTAGAAGCTTAGAAGTAGTGGAAAATGTGAAAAACTGGGGAAAATTTATCTTTGAGGGTGTCCGTTGTGTGGCGCGTGCGCTGCGAAGACGATTCAAGATAGCCGAAAAATATGTACAAGAATTTATTCTGCTTTAAGTAATCTAAAAAAATAACTGCGATTGTATATGTCTTTCTTATATGATTAACTCACTCTGTAATTAAAACATGGTCCAAATACTACATGATCATATGCCAAAAAAAACATTTGCCAGGTCAGATAAGTGAAAATATAGCGCCATATTAAAGATTTCGACTATGATAAGATTTTGCGACGTACAATAGTATATACCCTTGTTAATACGTTATGACTTCGTTTCCAATGATTGCGTTAAGACCACCCATCTTCCCCGCCGAGAGCCGCATTGTGGAGTTATAAGAAACAATCGACTCCCAAGGTTTCTCCTACCCATCTCAACCTAAATTAGATCTTGTTATGGGTCACAGGGGTCCATTAAAATTATATACATTAGTGGCATTCTGAAGTCTCCCACGGCGTTGTGTCTCTATTATTGACTATAAATCAAAAAGTTAACAACCTACTTAAAAGGTTGAGTCGGATGGGTTTTTGTCCGTTTCTCAAAGCTGCCGACGCGTCTCCGTGGCTGCCAGGACGTGGTGAGGTTGCCCTCTGTTTGTTTTACGATCCCCACGCTGCATTAAGACTTTTGTTTCTCTTACGTCTTATTTCGGCGTTAGACCGATAATGTCTTTTTCATTTTGCTGCGCCGCAGATAGCGGCGCAGCAAAATGAAAAAGACAGATCTTTAAGTGTTTTATTTCGACGGTCGATTGTAAAAAATTACTTCCAACTACTAAATTATTTTATGGCGTATACTGTGCTTTATTTGTCAATATTTCCTATTAAAATGAATATATTTATAAGAATTTCTTCCTTTTTTAAATCTATAACAATGGCTTTATTCTGTTATTTTTTTCTTTTATATACTCTCTATTAAAGTCTAATTGTATAATAAATAATACTTGCATTATCAATTTTGGCTAATATGTACATCTTCATATTTTTTCCATTTAAATTTAATTATAGACTATCTCTAATGTACCCTATCACTGTCATTATTGGGTTCGTATTGAAATTTCAGTGTAAGTCGCCGTCTGTTGTTTGAGACACCATTACTAATTACAATAATTTTGTATTTACATTGCATATGTATGTATGTATATTTACTAAATTAATTAGTTTTATTGAGCCATAGATTAATACGATCATAATCTATAATTTTAAATCAGTAAGCAGCATACATATATAAATAGGTACTAAAACCAAATACCTATATGTTGATTCTATAAGAATTAACGCAGATTAAAATAATATACTAATTATATATCTTATCTTTAATAATAATCCTAAAGTAAATGACTTATTTATATCCAATTAAATTTTCTAGGCTATGAAATTCGAAAATAAATTGAAAAAACATATTTTCAACTCGGGCAGGATTTGAACCGGCATCGACAGCGTTCCGTGCTGTTTCTCTACCAATTGAGCTACCCGATATAGTACCTTCATGTGCAATAAAATGTAAAAAATAATATAGTTTTCTAAGCTTTTAAATAAAACACTTTAACGGTTTAAAACGCGATATGTTAGTTAAACTTATTTGAAAATGATTTCTAATTTCGGCCTTACGTTTCGGATGCTTTGCAGCAGCCGTGGTCACAGCGAGGTTAAAATCATTTTCAAATAAGTTTAACTAATATATCGCGTTTTAAACCGTTAAAGTGTTTTATTTAAATGTGTACTACTCGCGTAAACTATAGACAGTATTTGTTTTCTATGCTTTCAAACTTAAATTAAAACTAGCTGAGTCAGCGACTTAATACGCGTTGAATATTTATTTTGAGTATCAAATTTTGTTTTTGTAAGCCTCCTGTTCAACTCTATAAATTTAAGTCGTTACCCACGACGATAGTTTAGGAATCATTCTCTCATACATATTTTTGAGTATCTAGAAACGTTTTCGCAGCGTACGCAATGGAAAACCACAGAGACGAATAGTTTTCTCCGTTTTTTCGACATTTTCCTCCGTTTCTTCGCTGCTATTAGTCACAGCGATAGTTTTTATAGCCTTCCTCAATAAATGCTATAACCAACACAAAAAATAATAATTTTCCAATTCGAACCAGTAGCTTCTGAGATTAGCGCGTTCAAACATACAACAAACGAACTATACCGCTATATATAGTATGGATTATATTATTAGTGAATTTTCGATACGAATTCTTATTAACCATAGAGTGACTTCGTAACCGAAATATGAAAGATAACTAATGAGTAATTTAATTATATGACAGGCTATGTGTATTGCGACTTGGGGCAGACACTTTTCTGTGTCTATTTATGTCGTTAATTAGGTGCTAATTCGATACATATCAGACAAATATATTAGTCTAATCTATTAGGGGAAAACCTGAAAAAGATTTAGGTGGTTTTTAATAAGATTACCATCAATTTACAGACAGATAAGCCTATTATCTTGTAGACAATGCAATACGTACCATTGCTCGTTGATAATAAAAAGTAGAAGTATCGTAATTATACTAAATACGCGTGCCTTGATTAATATTCTTAAGCCGTCTCGAGTGTCTATCGTTATTATTGAACAAGCCCACGACAACGACCGAAGAAATTAAAATAATTATCTTGTGATATACGCAATACGTGCAATGGATACTTAAACGTTACGTAACGTATCGATGGGGGGGGGGGAATCTTCTATTCAATATTCATATTGATTAGACTGTCATGAATGTTGATTTGGGTAACGCGCATATTGAATATGTGTGTCGTCTGCTTTTAGTGTGAGTCTTACTTTGCTTGTCCTTCTGCTAGGCAGTGGTGTCCTTTCTCATAGCTTAGACCACGATAACTGGGGCCTACGGTATAACGTATTGGTCTAGACAAGAAGTTGAAACTTCACTTGACATTCTGTTAGTGAAATTCGAAGTGCCAAATTAACATTGTATCCAAACTAGGATTCGAATCCAGAACCTGCAGTCAAGTGTACTGGCTTCTAAACTGTTTGTTTATCTATATATGGTTTTTTTAAGATTCTTTGATAGCTTATGTTTATACAGTATTTGTGCCAGCGACTTTGCCCGCGTTTTTTCAAAATATTTTTTTTAAAACCTCATTTTTATAAATTATTTTAGCTTTTACCAACGACGTCGTCGGTGTCCCGTCGTACATGCGAGTATATCTTAAAAGATAGACATATATAAGAAGAATACTTCTTTCATATGTAGTATTTGGATATCTTGAACCGTCAACCGATTCTAATCAGTATTTCATGAAATCAGTGCGTCAAACAAACAAACCAACAAACAAAATCTTCAGTTTAATATAAGTATAAATTAGTAAAAAAAGGTCCTTAAGATTTTAATATGTAATTGATACAGCAATAAAAATTGCATTACGTAACCAATAGTAATAACGAACTACTGGCCCTAATTAAAGAAAACTTTGAATTAATAAAAAGAGCAATAATTATTTTTGTTCAATAATGAAGACAAACAATGCAACCGGTAAACAGTATCCGCGGTAGATATTATATATGTGTGGTTACCATAGAGATTTCGCAGTACAAATAAAAAAGGTATATTTAATGGAATCTGTGGATGGGTGGGTATAGACCGGTGCGGTGGTCGCCGTGTGCGGCCGTCATTTCTTATTCATTAGGACTTGATTGATTCATCGTTCCCTCGCATTTATTTATTGACGCGAATGCGCCCGATGGAAACAATGAATGCGACTTGTTTTCTTTCGTGTATAATCTGGAAATAACTGTTTAGGGTAAATATTTAATCTTGGGTGTTATTAATCTGCCTCAGCGTAGTGTTAAAACGTGTTGATAACTTATATACGTTTATTTACCCTATACTTTTATGAGAAATCACTTAGACTGGAAATTTGGATATTAAAGGTTGGTAATAAGTAAATTCCGTCCGGATCACAAACCACGGCCCCCAAATGAAAGCCGCGAAGTTAAATCGTATTTCGGTATCAGTCTTTGGATATCCTGAATACATATATTGATAGCGCATCCTGCCGAGATGTTACATGACTGGCGTGAACTTACCATACTTGTCTATTCTCCTCTATCATAGAAAAAATATAAACATACGATTCTCGTTAGTACAAGTAATAAATAGAAGTTATGGAATTCCTTCATCGATGCTCGATCGGGTTACAGATGATAAGATGATATAAGTATTTTATTTACAGGTGATAATCTAAATATGTTATTTTGTAATGAAACAGTAGGTACACAAACTTGACTCATGTTCCGTTTTCAAACCTTTATTCATCATATCTGTTTTATGTTCCAGAATGTGTAATTAACGGCCAGAGAGTATGGGAAGGTCGCGACATCCGTATAACTGAGGAGCCGTGTCTTTCGTGCCGTTGCGTCCGTGGATCTTTGTCCTGTACCAAGAGGGCGTGTCCAGTCCTTCCGTGTGTACTGGCGCAGCAGTTCACTCCGGTTGGCGAGTGCTGTCCACGTTGCTCTCATCCTACATCTGATAAAATTCTACCAAATATGAGTAAGTCTCTAAGTACTTTTTTAAAGACGAAACGTGTTTAAATGAAACGACGTGACTGATGTGATCCGAATCATCTGACCGTTTAAGTAATATATTTCGCGTTTTAAACCGTGAAAGTGTTTTATCAAAATATGTACCACTCTCGTAAACACTGTACAAACGGTAAGAAAAGTGTTTATATAATATAACGAAGAATAAAACAATCTGTTGTCACAGGACTCGTATCCACGACCACCATATAACTATGTATGCCGATGATATGCCGTGTCACAAGTGACACTATAATATGCTCTTTACCCTGGATTCTAATCCCGTTCGTTTTTTAGGTTAATTCAGTAATATCGCAACACTCCCAAACAAAAATAATTCGATTAAATTTATAATTGCAATATACGTAACATATTTAAGTTTACTTCACAGAATCATTCTTAACATTATCACCTTTATTATTTTCAGGGAGTTCACTACCAAAGCCCTGCATAATTGGTAAGGAGTATCACGCACACTTGAGCCAATTCCAGGTAGACCCGTGTACCGATTGCACATGCATGAACGGGACTGCGGTTTGCGCACGCCACACCTGTCCTGTGTTAACATGCGGAACGCGTGCGCTGCCGCCTCCACCTGGCAAGTGCTGCCCGGAGTGCCCAAATATCGAAGAAGCTAAAGCGGCTTGCATAGTTGGCGGGAAAACATACCAGGTACACATCTGACTTTAACAAAACCGGAAATCATGACCATAAATATGATCCTTTCTAAAACCTTTAAAAAAAACTTACTCATAATTGTTGCCAATTTCAGGAAGGAGACACATGGCAATTGGACGCTTGCAAGTCTTGCGAATGTCATGGAGGAGAACCAAGATGCGCCATGGAGCGATGCCCGGTCCTCTCCTGTCCCCCAGATCAAACTCTTAGGCAACCTCCCGGCCAGTGCTGCCCTAAATGTGTCGACATTGACGGAATATGTACCGTTTTCGGTGACCCACATTACAAGACTTTCGACGGCAAGTTCTATAGTTTCCAGGGATCGTGTAAATATCAGCTAGTGTCTGACTGCAAGAATCATACGTTTTCAATAAGAATATCAAATGACGCCAGAAATACCTCACATTCCTCTTGGACTCGCACTGCCACTCTACGAATTGGCGCTACTAAAATTAATATGGGAAGAAAAATGCGGATTAAAGTGAACGGTCAGAGGATAACGCTTCCTTATACCATAAAGGGAGTTGCAGAAATTAATCGTAGCAATGGATCTGTGGTATTGAAGTCTGAAATAGGCTTACAGATGGTGTGGGACGGGGATGGCTTTTTGGAAGTGACAGTATCTAGTTCGTATAAGGGACAGCTGTGTGGCTTGTGTGGAAATTTCAATTCCGTCGCCAGAGATGACATGAGGACTCGCGACGGCAGGTTGATTAACGACACTTGGAGGTTTGGCACCTCGTGGCGAGTGGGAGGTCATCGCGCTTGTACGCGACGCCAAGAGAGACCCGGCATGAACACCCGCTGCAGAGCGTCGAAACTGACTAAAGTACGTCGTCTGTGTCGGGCCTTCGAGCGTCACGAAGCTTTTGCTGAATGTGGGGCGAAAGTTAATCCGCATAATTATAAGGAAGCGTGCCTATTAGATGCGTGCAGTTGTACAGGTGTTCGGTGCCACTGCGCTGCATACCGAGCGTACGCGAGAGAATGCTCACGTATTGGGGCTGAGCCCCATAATTGGTTGCAGGCAGCGTGGTGCGATCCGGCCGGGCCTCAGCCGGCTTGGCTATTCCGCGGTAGGAAGGGCTTCGGCCGCACTGTTAAGACGAAAGAGGCCAGATTACCAGATTTGACGGCGATACCAAAACGAAATAATAGTCGAGCACGCCCACCACCACTGCATTAAGCTGTTGATGGCGACCATGTCACTAGTCAAACCTGCCAATATGGTGGTATTAGGTGAGAATTCTTATTTTTTTGTAACAAAAAAATTATTGTCGCAATGCAATTGACGTATATCATAGTTTTTTATATAGTGGACAGTTTTATATAGTTGTCAGACAAACATTGAGTTCATTTGATGGGAGGTTAAATAGCCCGGTCATATAACATCTAAAAATGATGCGCATATATACATACCAAATTCAAATATACCTTACCTACCTATAAAAAACACCACTTTTAGCGGTAACAATCGCGAACTAACCATATTTAAGGCTATTGTAAATCTTCCGAACATTAAGCCGTTCTAAAAAACTATTATTTATAGAGGTCGCGTTTAAAACCGTTAAATAATTAGAGATACCTACAACTTACTTATGCTTCTTTTTCCAGCTTGTTATTGAGTTATCAAAAGAATATTCTCACCTTCCACGCTGCAGCTGAAAGTTGCGACGGCTGATGAAGATCATGGAATGAAGATCTATTTACTTAACAGTATTCATACAACTACTTAGTGTTAGAAACTAACGAAGCGTGTAGGTAGTTATATATACCACCTATATAGCTCAATGTAACCTCGCCGATAATGGCCAGCTTTGAAATATGCATTCCTATTTTATTATAAGCATAACTATTGCAGTTATATTCTGTTTGACAAGTCACTACACCGTACACATATATTCACCTCTCTGAAGTATATAAATGATAAAATATAAGCGTTTGCTGGTTGTTAAAATTCATTGAGTACGTACAATGTAATATTGAAGTATATAGATTTGTGATATTAGCTTTTGGGTACTTTGTCATGATATAAATAAATAGTTCAAATTGAGATCTCATTCATAGGTAGTGTTCAAAATATAGATACTAAGAATAATAATAGCCGAAGTACAGAAGCTATATTTTAGGGCCCGTTTTCACTAAGTTAAACGACGTATTGTCAACCAACAACAACGTAATGTCAACCAACAACAATATCGACGAACAACTAAATTAGACTTAACGAACGTATAATATATACCAATGTAATTTAAACTTAATTATGCTTAGAATTTTGCTATCAACCAGGCAACGTTAAACATTTGAAATTGTGAGTTATAAAATACATAGAGTACCAAAAAAGTAATTGTATTAACGAGAAATTCTAACTATGTCCATTAGAGTGTTACTATTATTTACCAAAAAGAATATTTTTGGAGACTTACATACAATTAGGTATTTAAATGCGTTACCAATGAACTTTTGCCTTTTAATATTTCTACTGCGAATAGATTTTAGGTTAAATTAACATACATAAATTATTGTCCATGAAGCAAGTGCCATGCCAATGTAAAATATAATGTAAAAACTGTTCATATATATTTCTCTTACTTTCTCGGTTCTTTTGAAACAAATTATACCTTGAATTTATTAACTATACTACTATACTATACTGCGAATTATTAAGTAGTACTATATAAGATCACGTCACATCCTAACCAGTTTAATTCCTGTAATAAGTGTATATGCTACTTGCTTTTTTTAATATTTTATGATGAAACGTGTGGCAGATATCCACTTACGTCTCTTTTCTCTTTGATGTAACTGACAAACATGTACGCCGTTTGAGTATTACGTAAGATTTAATACTTTTATTTACACCACAAGGGAAGAGGCCCTTGTCAGCTGAAAGGTAAATAAAATCTACTGACATTGTATGTAGTTTACGCGAGTAGTACACATTTAAATAAAAACATTAGTGGCTTAAAACGTGAAATATGTTAGTTAAACTTGTCTCCCCGTGACCACGGCTGCTTTGCAGCAGCCATGTTGTCGGGCCAGGGTTAAAAATAATTTGTAAAATATATTTTGCGTTCTAAACCGTTAAGTTGTTCTATTTAAATCTACTATTAAGCTAAAAATACATCTGTAATGTTTACGTAACACATTCATGGCCAATTACCGGTGTTAGAAGAACTTGTCTGCCATATGAGTTATATCATGAGTTTCGTGTAGCAGGGCCTACGTTTTATGCAGGCTGTTAAGTTTAATGAGATTAATTATATAAATAGTTAATATTTCATTTATATATACATTAAAATGTAAATCAGATCATATAGTTTACATGCACCATTCACGTAAATCGATTTTTATTAAACTTTATTCAAGTGTGCTACATAAAAGTGAGAGAAATTTACCGCGATACTAATCTCTAAAAATTTCTGTAAATATTCTTAGCAGAAGAACTGGTCGCATCACTAGCAAATTCTTTGTTTAATATTAACGTAGTTTAAAAAAAATATTTAATATATTAATTTCATTTGTATATAACTGATTTACATTCTTATTTTCTAGCATATTTATTTCTTTGCATTTATAAGTAATTAAATGAAAATAAAATAAGTATTTTGTATTTCTCGACATTTTTTTATGAAATATATTTTGTATAGTTTGCAATACCTCTGCAAAGAACAAGCAACGAACTTTATAATAATTAAAATAAATATATTATGGTACATTACTTGAACGACTTTGACTATTTTTTCATCGTCATCTCGAAATTAACTATATCCCTTGGGAATATTAATTGGCATTTTTTTTTAATTTTCCTTAAGCCGCTACATATATTTTAATATTGTGCGTCTTTATATTTTATTAGAACCAATTAATGGGACTGGAATACTGCCAACACGCTGTATTTTGCGACACTAAAATAATGTAGGACAATATCTGAATTCGAATGGTTTAGATCTCTGAAAATAGCCACTCATCGCATAAGTCGGTGAACGAGATTTAAATATTAAACAGAACGGAATCTATTTGTTTAAAATAAAACATTAAATTATACAAATAGTGTAAAATATTTATTTAAAAGTAGATAGATAAATAAACATTACTCAGCCACACGCACCAGATAATCTTAAGCAGGATTTAGATTTTACGAATACATAGATAGTTAAGTTTTTTTTTACATTTTTCTATATATTCAGATTCTAAAGATTGTACAAAATGTTAAATACATAGTTACACTTAAAAGTAAGAAGTTACATTTAAATAGAAAAGCATAAGTTTGTGTTTATTCTCCGGTCATCATCTCCATGAATTCTGCAACAAAGATTTTACATTCTTAGCATATGAAAAGAAGGTTTTATATTAATCATACTTGTTACTGATGAAAATAAACCAATATATATTAAGTAAAAGTCGCAAGAGCATTTAATATTCCATTAAAATTGTTTACCGTCGAAGTCTACTGTTCCGCTGCCGTCAGTGTCGATTTCTTGAATGAGACCGTCAAGCTCGTCTTCCGTTAATTGCTCATCCAATTCGCGAAGGATTTCACGTAGGCTCGATGTGGGAATGTAACCGTTGCCTGAACAAAGAAGTCATGATAACATTATTTATTTAAAATAAAGTTAACACTGGGGCCGATCGTCAAATAACTATTTTAAGACTAACTGATGCGTGAAAATTATACTTTCTTGGAGAATGAGTCTAAAAGGTTTTTGAATGTATTAAGTGAACGAGCCGTGACAATTTCCTCGGGGAGTTAATTCCAGTCGCATACCACTTGGAAATAAATTGATCAGAAAATTTCCGTTGCATTGCATTACTATGCATGACAAAAATTAATAACTTGTGCAATCCTATATAAAAGCTGGTGACGAGACGATAGTAAAACCATTTTGCTAGATAGAATCACACGAAGCCAGATTACAGAGATCTAATGAAAAAGTCTTTAGCAAAATTTGAAGTAAGAGCTGATTTATGTTGCTGGTCTAACACCATTGGATATAAATTCTAAAACTAAACAACAGATTCTTAAAAACTAAGTCTCCTCTTATAACGAAACTTAAGATAATAGAAGAAAATACTTGCCTTCCTTGTCGTATAACCTAAATGCTTCTCTAAGTTCTTTCTGCATAGCTTCAGCGTCCTCTTCCACGATAAACTTGGCAGCTAGCGTTACGAATTCTCCGAATTCAAGACGACCAGATTCTGTATAAGAATTTTATGAAAATAAAGTATTCGTTGCGACACATTTTCTATCTGCGTTATTTAATTTCTGCTGATTTTTTATTTCAGTAACTATCTGACCATACTCACTGTCAGCATCGACTTCCTCGATGAGTTCTTCAAGGATTTTCTTGTTGAAGGGTTGACCCATCATACGCAAGATATCAGCTACGAAGTCACAAGGGATGCTGCCAGAGCGGTTGTGGTCGAAGCCATCGAACGCCTTGCGGAGGACTGAAACAAATCAAATGTTACAACCTCCACATTCTTCGGCAGAATTTAAATTCTGTCCTCAATCACATACCCTCGACGTTCAATCCACTCATTTTTAATCACTCAACTTGCAAATCCCCAGACTTTAACGCAGGGAAGAGTCAAAAGACTATCCCGGTAGTAAAAATGTTGTCGCACTGAACGTTCTTCGAGATGCACTGGGCATAGAATTGTAGTTCATTGCACCTAGATGCAGTGCGAATTAGTTGTGTAACACAGCTATTTTGGGAGCACGTTAAGGTGCATAGGACGCAACACATCCCTGATCCCGAAACAGTGCGTAAATCGTGTTCATGTGGGATAATAATAAACTAACAAACGACTACACTAGTCTGTATCGTGACTATCTTTTTGTTTGTTGATTTTCATTTAGATAGACTTAACCTTTATTCTATTTTCGCTTAACCTAGATAACTGTTAGTTTCTTTTAAGGTTTTAATTACCTTAAAATAAACTAAACATTGCTATCATACTATATGCGTATGAGTTGATCTGATACGTTAAAAGATTAATACTGTAGCGAAAATAATTAAATGCGAGAGGTCTTAGGTTCGATTACCAAGGAAACAATAGATTGTTTCGATTGGACACGGCACAAAAGTCTCATCAACTACTTGCCTGTACAGAAAACCGATCACGGAAAGAACACAGAAATGTGTTCGTTCCCATACCTTACTGGGGAAACAGGATTTCACATTTTAAAACGGTCTACATTATGATGACAAAGGCGGAACTCGAATTCAGGACCGGCAATATATCAGGGCTTATCAATTAAGATAATGTCACGCGGAGATGAAAATACTGTTTTATAAGAAAAATATTTTGTTGTGAAACCACCCATCTGATTAAATGGACGATGAAAGATAAAAGAAATAATATGAAAGATGAGTTATTAAAAACTCTGATAGCCCAGACAACATATAATAAGCGCTGGCAACTGCTTCTTGTAATAAAATTTCGCCGTTATTTGCCCGCGAACGTTATATTTGTGGACGTGAGTCATAACTTATACGTATTTACACAAGAAAATGGAAACTCTAATAAAAATGATTCTCATGAAGTTAACATATACACCCTTACATTTACGTACAAACAACAAGTATGTAATTGTAACTCGACCGCCTCTGTAGCTCAATAGAGTTCAGCGCGTTGTGTGTAACAAAAGAGGCTTTGGATTCGACTCCTAGTGAAACTAAAATTGTTCCGATCGAGCAGGGCACAGAAATCTATAAAACCGGACACAGAAATGTGTTCGCCATATGCCCTCTAACGGAAAGCAGACTATTACACATGGACTATATGTTTGTCTATATAGAAAAGAGATCGAGTTAAGAATTTGAGCTCGGTGTATCAATCTGTTAGGGAGAAACTTTGTCTTCTAATCATAAAATGTATTGCCCTAAACGCGTTATGTAAAAATGAAACAAGGCAAAGCCTGTGAAACAGGAGGAACAAAATTTTGTATTGCACAACGGGTTCCCTACTTTAAATTTTAAGTTTCGGAATATTTTGTCCATATTCATCATCTATCCAGTTTTATAACGTAAACGTCGTTACGTAGAGCAGTCCGATTCTAATATTGTACGAACTTGTGTCCTACCTTACACCAGCTGTAATATTTTTTGTTACATTTCGCGTTATCAGCACTTAGCGGCAGCTGTTATAATAATTTGGCATCAAAATATATATGAAACATATCATTTATTTTTGCGTGCGTGCGTCCACATTTTTATCATCAAGATATCTTGGCAGTTGTCTCAAAGAACCATGCGGTTTATTGCTTTTTTCTAGACTTTTTTTGCTGTTTATTAATTATCTTCCCACGATTTCTTCATGGTATTGCGAAATGAGGCCGACTGCGTCAGTGCGATATGCTATTCCACATTTATAAGAGAATGTTATTTTTAGGAGTCGTCTTTTTTGAGAAATTGTAGCTGTTTTATGGTTGCCGCTAGGGAGATATAATTAAACTTTCAGAAGTCATAAAAATAATTATACCTTTTCCACTCAAGGAAATTTTCAATTTCAAAGATTTCAGTTCGGTAGTAATCGATTTTATATATAATACCTTCAGTCAAGTACTTGATAAGACTTGTGTGTCTTGCCTACGACAAGATTTACGGTTTCCAGGGATTTGAACCCAAAACTGTTTTACTATAATATTGCAAACAAATATCGGAATGAAATGCTATATGCGTTTGGTAAGTGAAGTTTGAAATCTAAGTTATCTAGGTATCATATTTTATAGAACCCAAGTATGAAGCTTAAAGCTTTGAGACCTATTATTTAGATCTTTAATTATTTTGATTAATATATTATATCATCGAAAGCATCCCTAATGGCATTAAGCCAATGGAAGCTCAGGCGAATATGTCCCGTCCTTTTAACTATATTGAAGGAAGGTTATTCAACTGATGTCAAAAGTGGCAAAATATAAGTAGTGTTGGACGTTTTGGTGTTTTCTGGGTTCCGTGCTCTAAATCTTTTAGTAAGACTCAGCTAATGTTCAGACCTAGTAAACGCACTAAATAAAGAAGATTTATGACGATTTTTGTTGTTCTTTATAAGGGTTATAAAATGTGCATTGTTTTAATATTAAGTGATATTAGACAGTTAAGATTCATATTTGAGAGGGAATTCATGGAGTAAACCCGGGTGAGTGTCCCTATTCAAGCTCCCGCCCACGGCCGAAGCCGTTTTCCCCCTCGGGACTCTCTTGGTCTAGTTACAGACACGACGAGAACTAGCCCAAACGTCCTGTACATTTTAAAGGATACAACAACACAATGCATAGTCGTCGCTCGACTCGCACTTGACCGTCTTTTATTAATATTGCACACTATCAACGACGATATTTTAAATCGACCAGTTTCTTCGGTACGTTGGCAACCATCCAGTCGTGTTGTCACGCCACGACCCGTTTCACACCAAACCTAACGATAGCACTAATAAACTTAAAAGCTCTTCATAAATTATGTTGCGCATGATTTGTTAAAGTTGAAATAAATTCAGTACGAATTCACATCAATATTATCATGTCATTTGATTCAAGACAATTAGATGTTTTGTTTTCCTTTTTTATTCGATCTTTTCTTGTACTTGCCATAAGAAAACCAAGTATCTTTTTGTATTTCAATTTTCTATTATCTTCATAGCCGCGACGATAAAAACAAATGTCACAGGGAACCAGGACGGTACAGGACCAGTTTAGTAGCATAAAGACAGACCAACATTTAGGGGAATAGTGGAGCAATTATTGTTATTTCAATTAATATTAATATTTTTTTGTTGTAATAAAGCAATATTTTTTTTATTGCTATACGCATTTTTACATTTTCAAGTATAACGAAATTATTAAGTAATGTTATTTAGCAGCAAAATAAACTAATATATTATTTTTCTTCTTCTTAGTAAACTAATATATTGTTTACGTTTGCGAAGCAACGACTGTCACAGTTGTCAGCTGTCACTCAACAGAACATGACAGCTGAAGAAAGCATCGTTTAAACTTCCGCTACGAAATGCAACATACGTGTTTACCTACCTTAACATTTAAACGTTTACAAGCTAGGTATAATAGACGAGTATTAAGAAAATGTTTTTCTTCTAATCCATCACTGTCCGTTCGCTGATCACAGGTTTATTGCAGACCGTAGGAAAGGGTTTTTACGGGTGATCACGCAAACCTCCTTGGGGATTAGTTATTTTCTTAGAAAATTTACAAATCGAACACTTTGCTCGACCCCGAATTCAACCCTTGACCACTAGCAGTTCGTGTACAAACTAGAAGACGAGGCTGTTTTTGAAATATATAGCGAAATAGAATAGATATTGTATGTAGTCTACGCGTACTTTAACACTGTAACTAAAATGTCGGGCCGTAGTTAAAATAATTTTCAAATAAATGTAACTACTGTCCATTGTTTACGCGTTTAAATAATAAAATTACTTGATTTAAAAATTATTTTTAACTTCGGCCCAACGTTTGTCTCCCTGTGACCATGGCTGCTTCAAAGCATCTGAAACGTCAGGCCGAAGTTAAAAATCATTTTCAAATAAGTTTAACTAACATATCGCGTTTTAAACCGTTAAAGTGTTTAATTTAAATGATGAGATATTTTCGCGAGTTAAATTAACAAAGTAACTGAATGTCTGAAACATTTATGTCTAGATGTCATTGAAAATTATCATGAAAATAATTAATGAGTTGCTTTACAGGTGGAGGGTGTGTCCATTGATCTAGTTACGGTGAGTAGTTTTCTATGTCCCAATTAATCAAGGGTTACGCCCCTTCCAGCTGCTCTCAGCTATTTCTGGCGAGCTATATAAAACCGCGCACGAGTTGAAAAATTAATCCACAATGAGTTACTTCTGTATGTTATGAACAAACCGCCACGAAAATCTTGGCATTTGCCCAAAACTATTGAACTATAGTAATTAATGTAAACAATGGGTGGCATTATTAGTATGCGATCAGTAATGTCTGTAGATTATGAGTAGAACATATTTAAATAAAACACTTTTACCAGTTTAAAACGCGAAATATATTAGGTAACTTAATTACAAATTATATCTCCCGTGACGACGACTGCTACAAAGGATTCGAAACTTCGGGAAAATTCTAGGTAGTTAAAATACAATGTTACTAATACATTTTGCGTTTTAAACCGTTAACAATGTTTTATTTCGATAAATAATGTGAATTCTTGACGTAATAATACTTTAGTAAAATTATTGTATTGTCGTTACTTCTTTTTCAACGGTTTACTTGATTTGAATACTCGAATGCTCTTAAAATCTATGAAGTAGATTGTAGGTAATCAAGTAATAATTTAATAAATACTTTCATATAGATATTCTTACAGGCTTAGGGGATATCCGTTTGTCTTATATGGGCCATGGAGCAGACACACATCTGCGCCTGTTTAAATGACCGATTTAATAAACAAGCAAGTACTTGATTCTGTTGTAGGTACTGGGATCCGAAACCTTCTGTTCTTAACGCGTGTAACATACCTACAACCCTCGCGGACGTAAGCTTATTTTATAAAATTTTAGCGAAGTACTGTTTATAAATATAATAAGTATATGAGAAAGTTATTTTAAGTAGGTAAGTACTTACCGGCAATCTGTTCTGGTGGGAGCTCATCAGCCTGAAAATATAGACATAAAACATTATTTTATTACTTTACATTGTCATTGTGATATGTCTTTATTAAAATCGTTCCAGCCTAATAGCTCATTCATTTAATACTTTTAAATAATATATTCCGAATATCCAAAGACAAAATAGGCCGACCGCAGATCTTTAGTTAGATATTCTATGGTTTAGGTTTAGATGTTATTTCAAGGATGGGTATCTTACCTACCGTCCAGTGAACCCATGCTTGTCTGTGTTTCTCTATCATAGAGAATATTTGACCATATTTAACGACGAGCTGTTAAATTAAATTGAACAATTTTAAACCGTTAAAAGTGTTTTATTTAATCTAATATTTCTCTTTTCAAATTGTATATGATACTTGACGGACTAATTTAGATTTTTAATTAAAATTTACCTTGACTTTTGCCCCAAAGATATAATTAGTTTATTTGAAAATGATTTTTAACTTCGGCCCGACGTTATAAAAAGTATAAATAAGTTTAACTAATATATCGCGTTTTAAACCGTTAAAGTGTTTTATTTAAATGTGTACTACTCGCGTAAACTATAGACGATATGATTAGTACAAAAATATTACGCACAAAGAACTGTATTATTTAAATTTCTTTTAAATTGCGGAATCCACTATTCAATTTGAGCCAAGAATGTTTAATTATGCAACGCAATTAAATACTAGATATCGAATTTGACTGTAAGAAACTAAAGCACATAAAATGGATACGCCTGTCACTTAATGAATCCAAGTAATTATACAACTCAAACAAATTTTAATTCCGACAAAAAATGTTACCTAAGCTGAGTAAAATTCGACTGTTTTGTATTGCAATATTATCCTGTCTTTATGTACTTCATAGTACTGACTATTAATTTATTTTACGCCATAACTCTGGCAGTGAGGCATATGAAAAGACAAGTCGTTTACAAAAATAAATTAATTGAAACATATGTTTATTTTTATGTAGTTCAAAAAGTTTTATTTATTCTTACTAAATAAGAATACTTACTACTTATAATATTGATAAAGAGGACTAAAACAGAAAGAATATTAAATCAAAAACCTAGATAAAACTAAAAATCGTTTTTAACGCTAAAAACGATATTTGTATTACTTTAATGAAAGTCGCCTTTCCATGCTTATGTCAACTTAAAAGCTTATCGTTGGTCGGATATTAGTTTACATATAATTCGCGTTTCAATTAGTTCAAACTAGTTGACAACATTCAGTACAGGCCAGCCAGGACTGTAATTAGACGATAAAATTTTATTTGCCGACGTACATACACGCAATTAAGACTAAAATAGACTCTTGATGGTTTTGTGTGTTCCCAATTTCAAACATGTATTTGAAGTACATGTACTCAACCAAAGTTATAATCAGTAAATAATATTTGTATAATTGAAATAATACTACTATTAAGTTTTAAAGAATTTATGCCGAAAAAAAAAAACAATAGTATTCGTAGTTAAATAAATGAAAAATAAGTTACTGACGAACGTTAAAAGTGTTTTATTTAAATTTAACGTTTTTTTATTTATTTCGCCACTTTGACCAATTATTATTTTTATATTAAAATATTATAAATAATTACTCAATTCATTATTGATTGATGTATCCCACTTTTTTATTATTATATTAGCTCTCCTTGTAAATGAAAAATCTACCGGCGTTTAAAAAAAAACCTACCCAGTCTTCTGTATCCAGAACCATGTTTGATGTCACTAGTTAGCACTTTGAGACGCACAACACGACTGGCCTGTAATCTGCAGCTTCCAGCGTTCAGGGTTATTTTCTGTTGCTTTACGAGAACGGTTTTCAGATGCTTTCTCATAAAATCGGCGAAGGGGCCAGAGGGGGGTCGAATCCAAGTGTTGCCGCACACGAGCTACAGAACATTAAAAAATGTTTACCGGTACCGGTCGAGTCCATGCAAAATGTATGACTATAACTAAGCCTATCGGAATCGTAAAACATGAAATTTTACTTGTTACTAAAAGTAACATTTTATGGAATTAACTAATCGTTCCTCTAGGTTTTGCAAATATGTAGTTTGTGTACATAGTAACTATTTGTACTTACTGTTATAGTAAAGTTTTAAATTGAATTGATTACGTTCTGCGTAAAAGGCGGTTTAACATCACAGAATTTCACGTCTATAAAATATTGATAGGATTCGGTGGCCTGTGTGCGGGAGCCACTATCGGTTCCACGGTTTCCTGCGCTTGCGTCGGCCAATAGCGTGAGCCTCAAACGGCAGGATACTAACATATTTTTAGTCGGAAACGTGGTAGGGAAAAGCGTAAACAGCAAACACGTTTTCATTGATATTGGAGCTTTTGCCCGCGACTGCGACTAAACGGAAAAATTACTTTCGGGGAAATGTTATTGTTTTGTATTGCATGCTGATCTGGCAAACGCTATTTTGCTATGTGAAGTATTTTAAAGTTATTGTGAGACAAAGTAAAAGATTTTGTATTATTATTACGTATTCTATTCTATTCTATTATTTAAGGGGGAATAATTCTTTGATACGTATTTTTTGGGTATCAGTAGACGATCAACGGAAACCCTGAAAGACGAATACTTTTCAATTAAAACGAGTAGTTCCTGAGATTAGCGCGTTCAAATAAACAAACTCTTCGGCTTTATAATATTAGAATAGAACGATAAGCGACGAAATAACACTAATTGCTTTTACTTTGATGGTCAACTGAATCTACTCAGTTCAGTAATAATGTCGAAGAGTAGTCTATTCAAAATAAACGGGTTTTTTTTTCGTTTTTTATACCGCCTTACCTTATTTTTAAAATGTGCAGACATACATTTTCTATTGCTTCATTGAGGTGTTAAGACACAGTTTATATTTTGTATTGTTGCTCGCGTTGTAGTTGTTTGGTAAAATGTAGACTATTATTTTTGGTATGTTCTTTGTCAGATTTGACTGAATAAATAAGTCCTCATCTAATTTGCTGCCGATTCTTAGAAATTTCATGACAGATTATAATGCGTACAATTTGTAATTATACTATATATACTATAATGATTTTCGGCACTCTATTGCTCTTTTAATTATTAATAAAATAGTTCCTACTTTGATATAACAGTAGCTTTTGAAACAAATGAACGAAAAAGCCTGTCTGCCAACCTTGCTTTTATTAAACTTTTTACAATTTTATTAATACAACAAAATGCGGTACTGTTGCATTACTAATTGACAGTAGACAGTAGTTCCTTCGCTTCTCGTCTGTGTTAATGATTTTGTTTGTCAATCCAACATTTAGTTTTTAGTTCACACAAAGTTACTATGTTCAACATGTTAAAAAATATATTTCGTTATAAGATAAAAATAACAGAAATATGTTTTCATATTTAGCACAAACTAATATAAAAAATGAAACTAAGATTAAATGCGAGCAGATACTTAGAAATTTGCGGCGCAATTAATAGACTTTTAAATGTAAACTGAAAACGTAACGCGACAGGAACACCTGTTAAAAAAAACCTAGCAAATAGTATGTTGTGTTAATTAGACAATCATAAGATTTACAAGTATAATGCGTAGAGGCAACGCCTACGCAGCTCATTTGTTTACAGAATGTGCACGAAATAGTATTACGGTTTTAACGTGAAATAAATGCTTCGCTCGGCCCAAACTACCTCGGCTCGGCCCAGTTGGTCGGTATTTATTGTACGTGATTCTGAGCTTTATATCGTACAGCTGCTTGCTGAATAAAAGTATAAATAGATGATAGACAACAAAGCATTAACAAATCTTGTTCAGACGCCTTAGAATTTTTGTATGTCGATATAGAAGATGGACGTTTTATGAGCATTTTAACCATGACTCAATATTGTTTTTTAATTGAACATCTGGGTTCTTAGGTTTCTCTTATAATATAATATCTTTCGATATTCAGGGATATGTTTAGATACTATTTTTTATTCATTAGCAGCCAGAAACAAAAAAGAACGATAAACGATTTTCAAATTGCGTTAGTAGAGCATTATTTTGCAAAAATGAAGTAAATATGATATGAGATACACTTAAATAATTAAGCCACTTATAAAACGAGATTATGTATTTAGATTCTGATATTACCCGTAGCTAATTAGTAGTCAAGTATTATTAATCTTCGTGCGTAGAAGTATTAGTTGAGCAAAATGTAAAATCAAAACTATTCAAATTTTAGTTATTTGACGATTTTGTATCTTATTGCTATACACTGTCGTTTATATTAAAACAAATAATTATAATTTAACCTTTTAAATAAAACACTACTCTATTTTAGTAGTACACATTAAAACCATAAAACCCTTTAACGGTTTAAAATGCGATATATTAGTTATTTGAAAATGATTGATGCAGTAGCCGTGGTCACGGGTCTTCCCGAGACCACGGCTGCTGCAAAGCATCCGAAACGGCGGGCCGAAGTTAAAAATCATTTTCAAATAAGTTTAACTAATATATCGGGTTTTAAACCGTTAAAGTGTTTTATTTAAATGTGTACTACTTACTCGCGTAAACTATAGACAGTATTTAATATTTAACCTGATTTAAGATAAAATACCCTCTTTACACATACTAAATACTATAAGATTATTTTGTACAGAACCTATAACATTTTTATGTCATACATTTGTGAAGACGTTCATTGGCAGATATTTATTTTTATAGGAAGGAAGAATGTGTTGTAACGTTGGCGTTAGTGAGCATGAACGATACACGTTTAATATTTTCAGATGTTACGAATACGACGGCGATGTTATAAATATTGTAACATCAGCTGTTGGCTGCTATTTCATGTATTAAAATATAGAATTTAGGTAAATAAATATTATAATCCAATAAACGAGCACAAGATGACAGGTGAGTATGGGGTTGATGTAAGGTGAAATAAGTCACTTATTTAAAATATCAAATGGTTGTATGAGCGCTGTCTAACAGACGAACGGTGAGGTTTTGCTGAAAATCAGTATTGTATCACAACAGTGCTGCAACTTATGCTGACGCAAGACCCTTTTGGTATCACTCCTTTTACACTTTTAATTATATTTATTTCTACTCCTAATAAATATTTATTTAATGAATATTCAAAATGAATGCCACATAAATATATTTATTAAAATTATTATTAAATGAAAAAAAAATTGACTACATACTTACAAAGCACACATTATCACAGTATATTCTGTTCCGTATATGTGTATAACATTGATAAATTAAATGTTATTATTAACTTAGTTCGTAATTTTAATCTGTTCATTTACGTAAATTCATTTTTAGGATTTTTTTATAATTTTACCATGAAATTATAAAAAAAGAATGAATGTGGTTTTAGCTAAGTGAATTTAAAAAAGGTCACTAGTTTAGTATACAATCCAATGTCTGAAAGTGTTTGTATTGTAAATTATGATTTCATGTATTGCATTGCATATCCATTGTGTTTGCTTACCAAAAATGCCAAGTTAGAAAAATCCTCTATACGTATAACTGTCAGATGTATATTTTGATTTTGACGTGCTGATTGACAATTGACAATATCTGTCTACTAAACAGTATTCTGTTATTTGTTGTCCTTACAAAGTAAACTAACTTTGAAGTTAAATTGATTTGTTTTTATTTTTTTGTGATATTCTAAAGCTTCTGCTTAAAAATTTCTCATGGAGGACTACATAGTCATATCTTTCATTGGGGAAGGTTCGTTCGGAAGAGTGTTTAAAGCGAAGCATAAAGAGACTGATTCGATTTTGGCATTAAAAGTTATTAGAAAAGTAAGTAATAGAGCCGTATAAAATTTTAATGTTTCGTAAAGTTTTTCAATATATTTTCTACACATTTTCAGAAAGGCAGATCATCCAAGGATTTAAAAAACTTGAGACAAGAGTGTGATATCCAGAGGCAATTGAAACATCCTAATATTATTCGTATGATTGATAGTTTTGACACTGAATCAGAACTGGTAGTCGTTACGGAGTATGCAGAGAAAGAATTACATAGTATACTGGCTAAGGAGGGTTGTTTAAATGAAGATCAAGCAAAGAATATTACCTGGGATTTGGTATCTGCTCTTTATTACTTACATTCCCACAGAGTTTTACATAGGTAAGTAAGCACTTAATATATACATATAAGACTTAGCAATTAAGATCATGGTCAAAAATTACATTATATATTACTTCTGTATATGGCTTGTTTATATGTCAATTATATTTAAAATGTGACATTTTATTCTAATGATTATTACTATAAAATTTCAGAGATCTAAAACCACAGAATGTATTGATAGATAGCTCGGGAAGAGCAAAGCTATGTGACTTTGGACTCGCTCGTATAATGACTAATGCTACACATATTTTAACATCAATCAAGGGAACTCCACTCTATATGGCTCCAGAATTGATTGATGAGAAACCTTATGATCATCAGGTATCAATAATTATTTATGTGCAAATGTTCAGATAAATGCACCTAGACATTTGTTGAACAGTTTGGTATTATAATGCTGAATTTTCTCCTGAATGCAATATGCTTATTTGTGTAAATCTTTACACATGTTTAGAAAAAAAAGCATATAGGACATTTACAAAAGCATTTTTAGATTTATGAAATTGATATTCTTTCCTTATATGTATACTACACCCCGATAAGCATCACTATAAGATTTAAACAACAACTTATCTTGTTTAAAGGCAAGTTTTTTAGTAGTCTTTTCTGTGCCTCGTGTTACAGGCAGATTTGTGGTCGCTGGGTTGTATAGTATATGAACTTATGGCTGGACAGCCTCCATTTTGTACTATGTCAATATGGCAATTGGTGAGGATGATCAGACATAAACCTGTACAGTGGCCCAGTTTTATTAGCCCTGAAGCACGATCATTTCTGCAGGTATAGTCATCATTTTATATTACCTTATGTGATAGATGATATGAGTTTTTTTATTATTGGAGAGGCCCCCATCTTATTCATTTTTTAATTTGGAATTCTGTTTCCCCTGGTCATGGTATAGACATATTATTGTGTCAATTTTTCAAGCCAAAAGAGCATTAATATTGTGTGATATATTAAGATTTTAATTTACTTGTCTTATTTTCAGGGATTATTGCATAAAGACCCAGTAAAACGAATGAGCTGGCCTGAAATTTTAGTACATCCCTTTGTAAAAGAGCATATACTTATACTTCCAGAAGACATCCAAAGTAATTCACCATTTACAAAACCATTATCCCATAGTCAACAAGAAGCAAAGTTTCTACAGACAGAGAAGATCAGTAAAAGTGCTAAGTTAGTTTTATTTTGATAATAAAGCATATATTAATGTCAACTCATAACAACTTTTAATTTGAGTCATAAAGATTCACTATTGGTTGTTGGTATGAGTTCTGTCTCTAACACTATTTTTCAATAGTGAAAGACGTTTTTTTTATATTTATAAACTCTTGTCTCTTATTATTAATATTTTCACTCTTTTAGTGATTAAGCTTAAAAACAAACCTAAGATATACTGAAACGCTATATTCTAGTTGTTTTTTCACAGAATTAAGTCTACAAATGTAAAACCTGAAGGCCGTGAGCATGATTTGAGAAACATTTGTGGCGTCGTCCAAGGTCTAGAATGCGTTCCACTGTCCGATGATGACAGCGTTCGTGCGACGAGCGCTTTCAGCGTAAGAGATAGTCTCAAAACAGATGATGAAGACCAGTCACAGCCTATTACAGCAGCAAACGCCAAACTATTAAGACACGAGTTTCATGTAATGAATAATTCTAATCTAGTTGTATGTAATCTTGAGAAGAACGTCGCGCAACTGATTGCTAATAACAAACAAGAACAAAAAATGCATAAGATTGAAGAAGAAAATAATGACAGGGATCACAGCAGAGACAAAGAAGCGAAAGAAGATGAGATAAAATCCAAAAGTAAAGCCGGTAGCACTGCGTCGCAAAGCTTAGAGAACCCGAAAAGCTCGAAATGTAATGACGACGTCAGTGCGGGCCTAAGCAAAAGTGTACCTCCGTCATATAAACAAAAGCTGCTACAATTCTCAAAAGATAAGTTAAGATTTGGAAGTGGTGGAAATAGACTGACTAGAAGTATAAAAAGATCATTTCATTTCAGTAGAAGCTTAGATAAAAATAAAAGCGAGGCTCAGAGGCGTATTAGTGAACCTACCCTTGAAATTCAAAGAGACTCTGATAAAATAAAGTATTCTAAAGAAGATAAAGATGAAGATGTAGAAAAGAAAGAGTTTATAGAAGAGATTGTGGATGATAAAGATGTAGCTGACAATGATAATATGCGACAAAACGAAGAGGAAGAAGGTGAGATGAGGATTAATAATACCTAAATCATAATATTGACTCGATACTTTAGATGGTATGCGCCCATATGAGATAATTGACTTGAAAAATTTGCATTTTTTTATTATATGCTTGTAATAACATAAGATAAAATAGCTAAATTCTATGTTTTATAGAGTACTAGAAAAACAATTGACTATTTATTTGAAGCCTATTCCTAAAATAGGATGTAATAAAGATAATATTTTTGGACATTTTTCAGTAAAAGAGCCGTCGTCAATAGAATTGGAAGAGTGGGAGGCTTTTCTCAACTCAAACATAACAGAAGTTATGGAGGGTGATGTTGAATCATTAACACAGTTGAATATGGTAATAGAAGAATATTTCTTTTTTTATCCTTTTTCCAGAATGATTATAAATTGATTTGAAACATATTGGACCTGGTGGGGTTCGGACCCACGACACATTCCTACCAACAACGTTGGACAAACGAGCTTGTCAAAATTGAATTTCAGTCATTTTGAATAACCTGAAGAAGACAAGTATCTATCTTTACAGGTCAGTATGGTTGTGGGTGTAGTAGGCAGCGCGGCTCGTGGGGCAAAAGGGGCTCGGGTCTGCGGTGCTGTTGCTGCTTTACTAGCACTACCATCACTATCGCACTCTTTGCCTCGACACACTCTTCTCAATATACAAGATGTAAGTAGATACTATTCATTGTGTAAACTTTTTTCCCGTGGGGCATGGGGCAAATACATTTTTGCGTTCGTTACACTAATCTGCTATTATTTTTATATCTATGTAGCAAGTAGTTTATAAGACTTCAGTACCCTGTCCGACCGACACAATCTATTGTTACACCAGGATTCGAACTCTGAAACACACTAACCATTTAGCCAAAAAGACGGGCTGGTATATGAGACATGAGATATTATTCACATAAATTTTAATTATACAAATCATAAATATAATATAATATATGTTTTTTTCCTAGGATTTGAATTCACAATCTTTGTCTTCCTACTATGGTATATGGAAAGGGAACGGTCGAAGCTATACGTGGTACTTTTTATTCATATTGAGGTTTAATTTAATTTCAACATACTTTAAAAAAAATGTTTATGTTAATTGGGAAATTTATCTGTCAAAAAAACCTCTAGACTTAAAAACACCAATTAAGCCGACAATGAGGAATGTACAATTTAAAAAAGAAATATTCAGAGTAAATACCTTATACGTTGGCAGATCTATCTCGAGGCGAAAGTTGTTTATAACTTCGTGGCAGCTATAAACACTCTAATGAAGGGCACGAAGGACACGGACGATGGAGCCGAGGAAAGGTAGAAATAAACATTGACTTTTTAGGGTTCCGCACGAAAGATCGAAAAATTCCTAATTTCACTTTTGAGAGGAAAAGAAAGGTGGAGAGAGAATGGTGGACAAAAGTTTGTTTGGGAAAAAGTTATTCAAATAAAACAAAGGCCATATAACATCTGAACAAAATGCGCTGTCGATCTATTTTGGTTTTTGGATATTTGGATATCCACAGACTGAAACCGAAACGCGATTAAACTTGACCGCTTTTCATTTTTGGAATTTCGATATTCCTACCACCCATTTTACATCCGATTTACAGACGAATTCACAAGTAACAAGTTTCAGAGAAATGATAAGTTGATTACGAACCTACGATTTGTCGATTGTTACCCGTACAGTATTATTGAAATGTGTGGTGCTCGCGTAAATCAGACAATTCTTGACGTTATATTGGATATACCCTTATCAACAAATTGACAGAAGAAGTTTTTTCTTGTTTATTTATGGTTAAATACTATCTGTAGTTATGGGTGCATAAAATTTAATATAAGATCTGTTATTTCAGAATTCGCGGTGTAAGTCGCGTGTTGGAGGTTTGCGCTTGGCTGTGCGGCCGGTCGTGTCGCGCTGTTAGACAACTGGCGACCTCTCTCGCTGCGAACCAGGCTCACCTCGTCTACAGTAGGCTGCTAGCTATGTGTAAATACCAAATTTTACCCTTTCAGAAGCCTTCAGATAAAATTTTATAAAAAATAAATCTATTTTCAGCGAAAAGGCCGCCGTGTCTCGAAATTATATAACATTTTTGTAGTGACAATAAATTATGTTTGTTTGTTCAAATAACGATTCGAAAAACGGTAGATATATAGCGCTTTAAGGTCTTATTTGTTTGACTTATCTATTACCCGTCTGGAACGCCATTGTATCTAAATAGTTAAACATGTTGCTTAGGGCGAGAGTTCTTGGGTTCGAATCTCGGGGAAGCAATAGATTGTTTCGGTCGGGCAGGGCACAAAAGTCTAATTAACTACTTGCCTGTATACAAAACCAATCAGTGTAACGAACACATCTTTTCGTCGAAACCGAAATTTCATTATTACCGCTTGAAAGACATTACAACACAACTAAAATATATATGCATATAAGGTAGCGAAAAATAAAACAACAAATATTTTTTTCTATTTTGAGCATTCTTTATTTTTCTCTTTTACTTGTTGGCTTAGTAGAGATTATTTTTCAAATAATAAGACCGTTTATTTCATGTATTTTTGTAAGGCTTTGCTTAACTTTAATTACAGATTCTAAATCACCTCGCATAGTTCTAAACATCGTTGGACTGCTCATAACGATACTACAAGACTTGCCCGAACACGCGGACGTCGTCGAACTCATCCTATTTCAAGACAAGTCGTTTACCTTCTTGAAACTTCTAGAACAACCGAGTGATCCGCTTAGAATGAGAGTTTGTATTCTTATAAGCTTATTGTGTACGTATTCGTGTACCGCATTTTCCGCAGCTATGGAAAATGAATGGAGTAAAAGAGACAGCGATATGCTAGAAGCTCTTCACACACATTGTAATGTTACTTTGAATAGGGCGGCGAAACTTGCGAGCAAGGAGTTAAGTAGTATGCCCTTTTATATTAGTTGATTTGATCTAACGCTTACGTGTTAAAACAAACATATTTTCAACGGTTTAAAACGCAATATTATTAAGTTTTTGAAATTGTATTCACAAAAGATAAACAAAGTGGATATTAAACAAAGTGAAATGATATCATTAACTTTCAACTGAACGCGTGTCGACAATCACGAAAAGTCTTGGATTCGAATCCCGAGATAATCATAGTCTCGTTTTGGGCCTGTCGTAAAGAATTAAATATTAGTAAAAAAGGTGTGCCTGCCACGGCCAAAATTTGTGTCTAAAAGGCTTATAATCCTAATAATTTTTGTACACATTGTGATTTTACTTCTACCCACAAACAAGCACAATCACATCAATATGGATGTACTCTCATTAAATCTCATATACGATACAATGTTCTACAACGAATAAATTGCTTTACCCTTGTATATAAGTCTATTTAATATTGAAAAAGATTTTACTGATTACTAAATACCTAGACTCAAAAATATGTCGTATTAGCTAACAGTGTACAATGGTATCTTTTAGTAATTTGATTTTAATAAGCTACTTCTTACGCTTAAGATCTGTTTAGAGTTAAGAGAATTAAGCTCTTTTAAGTTAAAAAAAATAACGAAAAAACGTGAAATGTTAATAAGAATTTTGCTCGACGTTTTAGATGATTTGCAGCAGCCATGTCCGAGGGCGTAGTAAATTATACTAGGATACAAATATATTTCGTGTTTTAAACCGTTAACGGTAAACTCCCGAAAACTACAGACCAATACTTAATAGTATTTACCTTGCATTTAATTTGTTGCAGCGAACAGATCCATATTAAGTTATTTTATTACAGATTTATAAACGTGCCTATATATAGACAAACTTTTCTTTTGTATTTGTGATAACATTCTGTGCCATTAGAATATTAAAATTTTATAAGATGTGTTTTTAGTTTCATTACAAGAATCTCTTGCCCTGACCAGTAGTTAGCTGTAATCTGTTTGTTAGAATTTGTAGTAGTGGTCTATTTTGGTTTTTAGTGTTATATTAACATTGTTTCAACAGCGTTTTTGATGAAATAATAACATTACTGCAGCAGCCGGAAAGAGAGGCATTCATATGATGAACATGTGAATAGGCCGTGGGCCGATAACCACATACGTAAGTCCATCAATTCCTAGTTGCGGCCAAGGTTTGTAAAGTACTTTCCTTAAAAATTGCTAACTAAGTAGTAACATTCAGAACTTTAAGAATAATGACGCAGTTGTTGAAAGTATTTTTTTTTCACTAAACGGCATTCTATGTGCCAGCCAGTTCGACAATTCAATCAAATCTTTGATAAGTTACCTCTTTGGTCGCCATTTTGCGGAAGAGAAGATGCGTTCCATTTTTAAATTACACGTCTAATGTGATTTTCATAGTAATTTATTTGGCCTAAACACGACAGATATTTATTTTCATACAACTATTTCCGGTCGCTACTCGGCCAGTACAGCAAGATCCATTTATCTCGAAGAAGTTGTTAAAAGTAGTGACCTGAACTTACCACGCTTTCGTCAAAAATTTCGTCTAAAAATAAAATAAAATTAATCACAGAGTGTCGTCCATGCCGCTTTGCCTTCTCTTCTGCAGGTGTATTTATAAGTGGATCAATAGCTTTGCTCATATTTATTTTACGTGGGCGTTGCATTTCATAGTGGTTCGCACATTGGTTACATAAGGAAGGTGATCGGCCGGCCTCGCGCCGGTCGCCGCGTGCATTCACCGTCTATTAGAATATGCATATTCAAATTCTCATGTGCACTTAGCATAATAACGCCACGCCTTTTGAAGGCACGGTTGCGATGTAGGTGAGAATTGAAGACTATGCCCGGTTTACGATGATTCGTTTGACATGAACACTATTTTGTTTAGGATGATATTCCAGTTTACACCTAAGTACTGATGCATTATTTCATTCACACTCAATGTACTTTAACGACGTGTGCCAAGTAATAATCCTTTAACATAATTTTGTTTTAACACTACCATCAAACTATTTACCGATATAAGATATTTATTACTTAACCAATATCTCTCACATATATGCAGACACATAAAACTCACAACACTACATATAATTATTGTCCCGTGATATTTGAAGTAAACAATAAGAGTAACTAGATCTTTGGATTGAAATTCTGTGTATTTAAGTTCTATTCAATATATGTAACATGTGTCAACCGAGGTTATTTATAGTCATTTGATAATTTTATTTCATTAAAATCGTAAGTAAACGTTAACTATACAATGGGTCATAGTTAGTAGACGTACACATTCTGAAAAATTACGATACCTTCACCGCCTTCAGGTACAAAGTCTTATGACCTATCTCTTTACCCTTAAATCATCATCTTCAACTCTAACTGTCCCACAGTTGGGCACAGGTTTTCACTCTTGTAAGAATTTGGTTTCGCAGTTTAACTGCTGTGGTGGGCTTTAACAACTACCGTCACTAAATAGATGACATTCGGATGCTACACATGGTCTCCGAACACATTCTAATTTCAAACTCCAGATCGTCTTACTTGAAATTGTACCATTATTAATTTATAATTATAGTAAAGTAAAGGATAATTACCGGCCTAGAACCACGTAATCTGCTGGCGAGTATACTAACCACTAGACAAGTAAATTTTTATGTAGGTATTTGTAGCAAAAAGAAATACTTAGACAGTGATTATAAAACATTTGAAAACTTTAATATTGTTCTCATAGTATGCTATTAAAAATCTAAATTAGATACTGTCTATAGTTTACGCGAGTTTAAATAAAACACTTTAACGGTTTAAAACGCATTTTCAAATAAGTTTAACTAATATATCGCGTTTATACCGTTCAAGTGTTTTATTTAATTGAAATTCGATTGAAAATTCACTGCGCGAGAGTACATGTATCAATAGGTTAATGTATAGCTCAATTGGTTAGAGCTATAACACGGAACGCTGTGCATGCCCGTTCAAGCCCTGCCCGTGCCGTTCGATTTCTGATTATGAAACAATTAGGTTGATGTAGGAATATACTTAATGACGCATTTAAAATATTATCAGCAATGATACTTAACATATTATCTTGTACCAAAGCTCTCGAATGTCGATAATAAAACTATATTTATGCAGATAAGGTGCATTCAAATCATTGTGGTGTTGTTGAACCCAGCTCTATGATCTAATAGTTTAGAGAATGACGTCAGCTAGCCGCGTGTAGAATGGCAATCGCTGATATTTAGGTGCATAATTTCAATAAGTACATCTTATGTACGCGATAAGCCATAAATACGTTTATGTGAAACGCATGAGAGAGATATTTAGCGTTGAAGCTTCTTTGGGTTCAATAGGATTCACACAATCTTTGAAAATTTTAATATTTTTTACACGTTATTGCACATGAAGTCACTATATAATTTAAAAATCGAAAATAAATTGAAAAATGCTCGACTCGGGCAGGACTTGTACCGGCATCGCCAGCGTCAGAGCAACAGCACGGAGCGCTGACGATGCCGGTTCAAGTCCTGCCCGAGTCGAAATTTTTTTCAATTTATTTTCGATTTTTAAATTCACACAATCTACGAACAAAATTCTAAAACACCGTCAGGACTCGAACTACCTACCACATATACTGTGCTGTTGCTTCATCAATGTAATTTTATTTTTAATCTATTATAAATTCAGACAGACATATATTCGAAAATGCGTGGATTTCTTCGTGACTGAATGGATTAACTTCTTCGTCGTCTTAGGTTCAATGTTACGGTGAAACGTAATCGTTCGTAAGTCGCTTCATGTACCTACCTAAGCAGATCACAGTAGGTCGATCAGCAACTTATAATTACCATACATCTAACCATAGAATTGAATGACACGCAATTTTACACAAGTTTAATTTAGCTCCTTATAAGTGAGGCCTTTTAGCACTTCTTGTGTAATAAACTTATTTTTTTATAAGTGCCTTAAGTGCTTAATACCTTAAAATTTAGGATACCTATGTTGAAACACAACTTAAGCAGGTGCTCATAACAAAATTTGCTTTCAACTAAATTAATTCAGAAAGATAATCATTAACACGAATACCTATTGAGGTTTAACTCTCAGTTGATTCGTACCGGATTTTCCACAGTGACTTTTCCTTCAAAAGGTTAATAACCGTTAATGATGCGAAAAACACAAGCATATTATCGAAACGCTTTAAAATCGCATTGCGCTAAAGGTGTCCTTGCCCGAATCTATTATCAATAGTAGGTTATTTCGTATTTTTGGTCGATAAACGATATCGCGCGTAATGTATGCCGATCGTGTAGATATTTGCGCGATCGCTGCGAGTTCGTTGACCCGCCATATTCACTGTACCATTGGGTCATGAGTATTTTGACAACGCAGCGCGGAAATTATCTAATCGGCACGCGGCCGAGGACGTGGGGTCGACGACTCGAGGACCGTTTAGTGGTCCCACACCGAACGAAAGTGAAATTGGAAATGTATATGGGCAATGCTGATATCCTTTTGGCCCGTTGAATTCGTTTAGTGGGTGTGGTTGCTACGTCGCAAGTGCGGAGCCAGATGCTGGATTTAGGTAAAGGCAGGGTTGTCACAAAAAAAACTTATTTGTTACTGAAATATGCTTATTACTAAATATATCACAAAATAACAAGATTCAAATCATAATTCAATCGTTCTTTTTTTTTTTAAATTAATTCAATGCTGTATAATTTTAAATACTCAACTGTAAAAAGATTAGTCACCTGACGAGACGTGATTACAGTACAAAATCTATAGCTAGCAAAGTAGGTTCTCTGTGATAAGGTTTCCAATTTGTCTATCAAAAAATTAATATCAATCATTTTTAAACAAAATGTATTAATGCCAATAATTTATATCAATAAATATTCTTGGCATATCTTCAATAGGGGGAATTCCCAGCCGTGACAACCCTAACTACAAAGTAACGCAATATTTATGAATGCAACAGCAATTACACGAACATAGGGCTGTTATGTAAGAACGGTAGTGTTTATTTCTTATTATGCATAGTCTATCTATTACGTGTAAGATTTATTATAATTTCCTGAAGTTTTCTAAAGCAAACAGTTATTAAAAAGGAGTTTTTCAGTTTATCTAATATAAAAAAATATAATTTACGACTTTTATAGTATTTTGTCTCAAACTACTTCGTATTGTAAAGAAAAATAACAAACCTGCATAGTTATGTATTATTTATCTCAGGCTTTGTAACAAACTGTAAGTACAAATATATCACATCAAACATTAAATACAATACTTTATTGGTTTAAAACGCAAAGTGTATTTTTAACTAATATAAAATTTATATACTGCCCGACGTTTTGAATGCTTACCAGGAACCGTAGTGCAGGGACGCCGGGATCGAGCCCCAGTTAAAATATGTTAACTAATATATCTCGCGTTTGAAACCGTTATACGTGTTTTTAAATGTATACTACTTGCATAAACTACAGACAATAATTACATTAAACACCTGAAAAAATACCTATATATTATGTTATATTAATTACTTTTGTTACGTTCGACAATATTTTTACTACAAAATTTCGCAAAATATTTATGTTCACATTAATTAGTACATATGTACCTGTCCTACCACAATGTGTTTTTAAAATATTTCTTGAAGCGTGCACGAAGAGGTGTCATTCAACTGATTTGTAAGCGGGTCATTGACCGCTCAATATTCTACTTACAGTATATTATCATATTGGCATCAAATAGTTCGTAACCCAAATAACGTGATTAGATTTGTATAGTAAATTCTTAAATTAAAATGACCGCTTTTCGCGCTAAGTATCCAACAGTTGTAATATAATTATTTATTGGAACTAAACAGGGCGGTACCGTCGCGGTACAGTGGTAAAATGCGTTGCTTAGCATTCCAGAACTAAATTCCTATGACGGTAGGAGGAGAGTTTCTTATTAACCTACTTGGTAAAATGTCACACTTCACACAGTCAGTATAGTAATGAAGTATAGTAATATTATGGTATAAAAATCTTTTTAAAAAGGTACCAATAAGTATGGAATGGCATACTATGCAGAAAGAATCGAAGATTTATCACTTTGGTGGTTAGAATTTTTATAGAATTAATGTAAACTCAGAATTTGCAAATATAGTAGAACCAAATAGGAGTTATGAAAAAAATGCAGACATTGCTATAAACATCCAGTAAATAACTTCTTTATTTTTCTTATTGTTTTTGTCAACCATCAAACCTGGAGATCTCGATATTAGGTGCTGGTATTTCGGCACCAATTTATATGTTGAATGTTTTTTCACTTTAGTGATCTTTAATCATGATGAAGACAAACATTGGGTTCGCTTGGTGGAAAGAGAAACCCGCCAGCCAAATTAATAAATTTATTTATTTAATTAATTGACTAAATTAAACTCTAGCGAGATAATAAGCAATATCAATACAATCGGGTGTTTTTGGATTTAATAAAATGTAATTTAAAAATGTGACGCATTTCCAAACAGTCTGTTCACTTTTGACCTACAATTTAAACGTTAGCTAGAAGTCGTTAACTATTTATTATTTAACGATCAATAGTTTGCATATCGCAGGTGTACGGACAACGACCTCTTACATAATTATTATTTACTTATAATATTAAATTATACAAATATATATCTATTCGCAAATTATATTTATTATGTACCGAACAACATAATCACGTGCTCAATGATCAAAACGTATTTAAGCAAAACGCAATTTCCAGTCAGTTTCCACTAATAAATTACGTCTTATTATGCGTTTAAGAGCTAGTGATAAGAAATTTAGCGATTAAACGTTTATTTAGCGATAATTTTCGTTTATATTACAATTTTAACCTTTGTCTTACTGTATATTGCGTAACTAATATTTCGGTGAAGAGTACCTAAGCAATCTATACTAACATTATAAAGCTGACAAGTTTGTTTGTTTGAACGCGCTCTCAGGTACAACTGATTCGAATAGAAAAAATATTGTTGTATTATATGATTAATAGGCGCGAAGATACGGAGGAAAATGTTGCACAAACGTGGGAAGTAATACATATTAACAACGGCTTGCGCTGCGAAAATTATTTAAGAAACCAAAAAAAGATGTATGAAGGAATTATTCATGGGTAATATCTATACTTTATAAGACGTTGACATAAACAAATTCTGATGCCCAAACTACGCGAACGAAAGCAGGCAAGAAAAATATAATAGCTACATTTCGTTCTATATTCAAAATTTAAATCAGTTATAGATAATATAATGCTCTTAGAGAAGAGTGGCCTAATTAAAAAAGACATTATTTTCAATAAGGAGAAAAATAAAAATGTGCAATTAACTTTGGCGAAAACAAATTTATCCTATTATTTGTGCAAGAATTGTGTTAACAACTTTCGGTAACTGTGCTCTTGTAGATTAACATTTTTACACTATAAAAATAGAAATATGTCAAATCATAACATTGCAGATACTCTGCCTCTAGCGGCCTCATATATACCGTTTAAATTAAAGGTTCAAAACTACGAAACGTAGATGAATCTGTTTCCCACATCGTTCGATATCTCTTGCCCTATAACGTCCTTGCGAGATCAATAACCCCGGAATACATAACAATCGTAGCGATAATAATACGAGATAATATTATCCAATCACGATTATTGCTTATGTAAGTCTTTGATACCTACTTGATAATGATGCGACCTTCGCGGTCGTTGATCTATAGCATAGTTCTAATGACGCGCTTTTGCATCAACTATTACAGTATATTGATTTAAACCGTTAAATTCTTACTAAAGGTTGAATATAGCTGTATGTGATTTTTTAATCGACTGTTCTATTAAATTTTACGTTGCGCTCACTAAGTTATCCAGTTATCCAGAGTCGATGTATTAATCGATTATGGTGGAACTTAGTTAATAAATGTACAGTATTTTGCTTATCAACACTACAGCTTACTTCAGATTTCGCAATAATAAATTATATAAATTTAGTATCATTACTCATCAGTAAGGCGCTGTAGCATATTTTTGGGCTCGCTTTGAACTAGTCCAAAGTAACGAATTTCACAATGTTTTAGGCTGGATCACTCCAGCTCACGCTAGATGCTGAAAACACTAAATCTAAACCCTTATTAACTTGGGCGGGCGGATATATTTTTCATAACTTAAAACGCGTTGATATCTCTACAATAAAGAGCATTATCATAAGCTACATCACTTAGTGCTTTACAAAATTTTTTACAAAACATAATACTTGCATCGCGATACGTGTCTGATATTTAAATCAATAAAATAATATTTCGTCCAGAAGAGGATTTATTTAGGCGGCGATGAGAGCTGCGTGCGTTTTAACCTAACCAGACTGTCTTTGGAGCGAAATATCTTCTGAGTTTCAAGTCCGCCTTATTTAATTTCTGTCATTATAGCCTTTCCTATTAATGCATATTACATACATAGACGTGTTAGACCACGCAATGCCCCGGGTCGCCATCTACACTGCGACTGGATCAGCGCGCTGGTTAACCCCGCGTTGACAAACTGTACCGATCGTCAGGAAACCGTCTTCATCTCAAGAGTTAGCATTTGGAGATCCCTGGTCTAGCCGCAAGTAATTTTGAAGGCGATCAACAAACTACACTACACTAAAAGACTCACATAATACTAGTATGGCTTCATAAACTGATAGAATAAGTTCTTATATTATTTTCCTTCCATTTGGTTTTTCCACTGTCAGAATAAAACTTAGTTCAGTTATGTATGCATCAACTGCATAGATTTATTGTTCATTTGCCCACCTCTTTACTATACTATTGTATATAGTTCGCGATTGGTTCAAGGAAGTTTATCAGCGATCAACATATGCATTATGCAGAGATAATAAACCTTCCGCGCTTATATAAATTCAATGTTAGCTACTTTTCTGTCATCTTTACTCATAAATCGCATAGAAACCTTGATTCGTATGTATGCGTTCTTATTAAAATAGCTGTCTATAAAATTTATTGTTTCACATAGTATTTGTAAACTACCCTCGTTTTATAGTTAATTTTTTTTCATTGAAGCGAAGGTAGATCGAAAAAATCATTCTTTTCAATCCGGACTGCAACGTAACGTGTACGTTGCTTGAAATTAATTTTAAATGTAGACTAATTGACTGTATCTTTCGATATTTTTTATTCAAAATGACTTTTTATATGTTTTATAATGACTTATTAGACTGGTTTTGGGAGTATATAATGAATCTTGAGTTGATATATGTTTATCGATTGGTCGCAAGTAGTCTTGCGGGCACCACTGTAATATGGTCCATGATTAAAAGACACAAGAAGAGTCGAGCTCTCCCACCAGGTAAGTAACATTTTAATTTTTATCACTCTCGTAACTGCAATTCAAAAGGTGTTAATCAAATCATAATTAAATTGGAATAGACTAATTCTAGTCGTTTTTATAGGTAGAATATTCATTAATATTATTATCACTACCCTATAAAAACGGGGTTTATACCACGTAACATTAGTCTGTAATAAGTTTAAAGTAAAAATAATAAATGATTTTGGTGATATTTGTAATAATATATATATATTGACATATTGTTATATTTTATACTTTGGATCACAGACCGCGAAAGTATATCACTTTTTAAATGAATCAAGTTATAATTTGGTTCACAAAAAGCTTTATTGCATAGAAAATATCTTAATGAGTTTTAACCCCAGTTTAATCTTTAATTTCTTCAGGACCATGTGGCGTGCCTTTCCTGGGCTGCCTACCCTGGATGAACAAAGGTGCACCGCACCACTGGTACTTGTCTTTGGCGGCTCGTTACGGGGACATATTTTCTTTGAAACTTGGTAGTAACCTGGTGGTTTGCATCTCATCACCTAAATTATTGAGGGAGTTTTTCAATAGATTTGACTCGACTGGCCGACCGCGTACGCCGCTGAACAATCTTCTTGGTGGTTATGGTAAGTGATTTAAAAATAATCCTTCAAATGTATTAGCCCGTACTAATGTCATATCTTAACCTATTTTTTTTTAGTACTTTAAAAGTACCTATAATGCAAAATCGCTTAGTACCGCGTTAACAGCGAATATTCTAGAATTATCTACTTAATATCTGAGATTTCAACAATTAGTATTGCTCTTAATTATGTCTGTAGTTTACGCGAGTATTACACATTTAAATAAAAGACTTTAACGGTTTAAAACGCGGTATATTAGTAGTATATTAGAATATTAGTTACACTTATGTGGAAATTATTTTTACTACGGCCTACGTCTCCTCGTTACAAGAGCTGCCGCAAAGCATTCGAAACGTCGAAAGTACTTTCCAAATAAGTTTAACTAATATATATATCTATTAACTAAGTATTGTTTTATTAAATTTACCTATTTCCAGGAATCGTACTTAGTGAGGGTGAATTGTGGAAGCGGCAAAGGCAGTTTCTTCATGATAAATTCCGGGCACTGGGTGTTAAACTATGGACCTATCAGAGATTCGAGAAGTACATAATCGTAAGTTTTTTTTTAATTGCATAATTAGGTACTATAAGCTCACTTGTTGTGAGTTCAAACCCCACCCTATTTAGAACCAAACGTTTCTTAATTTTTGAAAAATAATTTTAAAAGTTGACAGGTTTATATATCTCTTATTTTTGCTCCAATTGTACTTAACTTACATTGACATTATAAAATATCTTAATACCTTATTATATTTATAAAAATATGTTAGAGGCAAACATTTTTAAAAATATTTTAACTTTTAAAACTTTTACAAGACCCTTTTGGCATCACTTCACTTTTTTTCGTTTAATATTGAAATATTTTTCTAATTAAATTAAAAACTTAATAAAGGATCGTTAGTCTAACATGCTGAAATTAACTGATCACCGTCCACAGGTGAAAAGGCCGTGAAGCTCTATCGCGTTTCAGTTTCAGTCCGTGGATTCCGAATATCCCAAAATAGTTCGACAGCACAACTTGATTAGATGCTATAGGCTGGGGTATAGCACCTACCACCATGACCTACCCCATGCCATATATTTCTTCCTCTATCATTAAAAGAAACTAGAACTTTTAAATAAAACACTTTAACGGTTTAAAACGCGAAATTGTAAATGATTTTTAACTTCGGCCCGACGTTTCGTGACCCGTGACGGCTGGCTGCTTCAAAGCATCCGAAACGTCGTGCCGAAGTTAAAAATCATTTTCAAATAAGTTTAACTAATATAATATTGCGTTTTAAACCGTTAAGTGTTTTATTTCAATGTGACTACGCGCGTAAACTGTAGACAGTATTTAAGCTAGAACTTCACTAGTTTCATGACACATAACATTATTTATTTATTTTTTGTTTATAGGCGGAAATCGAAGAAATGATTCTGGTAATCGATAATAAGAATGGACAATCATTAGACCCAGTGATTGTTTTGGGACGTCACATCCACAACGTCATCTGTCAACTGATGATGAGTTTTCGCTTCGAAGAAGATGATCGTAAATTTACATCGTTTAACGAACTCATCTCTAGAGGAATGAAGCTATTTGGATCGATTCATATTGGGGAATACTTATCTTTTTATATGGTAAGACATACAAACATACAAATGATTTGTGAATTAATATTTTGTGAGAGAGGAGTACAGTTGTCTGACGGGTTCACTCTTGAAGGTGGAATTCTCCAGCCCTAGCGAATTGGCTGCATAGTTAAATATTGTTATCTAGTATTGCATAAAAAGCGAGAGGTTTTAGGTTCGAATGCGGGGACAGCAGTAGTTCAGTAGGGCAGGGCACAGAAGTCTGATTGTCACTGTAATGTACTGTGCCTGTAAATAAAACCATCGGTAATCACTAAAACGGACACAGAAATATATTCGCCCAAAAAGCAACTAATTTAAATGCGCTGTTGCCCATATAGTGGTTATGAACATTCAAAACTAGATAATCACGTATTTCCTTTATGCAGAAAAAATATTAAATTATTTATAAAGATAGGTCACGGTGGGAATTGAACTCATGACCGCGATAGCGATTAATTCTACCATTGGACCACTGAGCCTCATCAAGTATCTCATCGGTTGCCTTATTTGTCATATAATTTTAGAAACTTCCCGGTAAAAAGGCGGTGCTAAAGGAAATAAGTAACAATCTGAAAAATATCAGCAAATTTCACGAGGAACATTTGATAAAGCGCGTCGAGGAACGTTCAAGGTCGTCGACTCACCACGAACCTGAAGATCTGTTGGACTTCTATATCCAACAAATGCATAAGGACACCGATGACGGTGAAATGCAGTCCGTTTTGAAAGACAAGGATAAGGGTACATAAGCTTAATAAACTTGTAAACAATTATTTAAAATTCGATGTAACGCAGACCCACGACCGGCTGAGCCTTGCATTGGTATATAATATGGTTTATTTACAAAAAACTTCTAAGATCTAACGTAGTTCTAATTAATGGTCACGTTATATTTTAATTAGGATAATGATTAGGAATTAATTTATGGGGTACACTTCGTTCTACACCTTTTTAAAGTTACACGTCTTAAATGAAAACCACGAAGATTGGATTGGATTTAGGAAGTTTGAACCGAAAGGCTATTTGACATTAAATAATATACTCTAACTGATATTTTTCGTTTTAAACCGTTAAGTGTTTTATTCAAATGTAAACTACTGACAATACTTAATTTTGTTTTCAACAAGTTGTAATCAATGAAACTGTTTTTGCTTGCAGTGAGACAGGTGGTACAAGTCATGAACGATTTATTTTCTGCTGGCATGGAAACATCGAGGACTGCTATAGTATGGATCATAATAATCATGTTGCGTGAACCAGAGGTTGCAAACAGGGTTCGAACTGAACTCGCGGAAGTGGCCGGAACTGGACAACTCATCACTTTGGAACACCGTTTACAATTGCCGTACCTTGAAGCCGTAATCTTTGAAACCCTTCGTCGAACCTCTGTTGTGCCTCTGGGCACCTCCCACATGAACACTGCGTGAGTAAATCACATAAATAACGAGACAGGTGTATAAAACCATAATTCGACGATGTTATGAATTGTACTTTGTTTTATTCTATAATATCACTAAGACCATTTTCGTCTTCAATGCCGGGATTATAGTCTAAATATATTTATTTTTATTTTTCAAATTGGGTATCTACCACCATAATTAATTTCTATGTAATGATACCATGATTTGACATCATATTCATGTTCATTAAAATCGATTCAGTATTTTAAGTCTATAAACAACCACTTTTATTTCCCTTTTGCCTCCGACGTCCTCTGGTTAATACTCTCATTCTTCTACTCTGTCCTATCCTCTTTAAAAAGTTTATTTCTAAAAAATTTTATTTATTGCAGGCAATGGAAAATAAATGAATACATCATTCCTCCCGGTACAACTATCGTTCCCTTGATCAACAAAATTAACATGGACCCTCGCTACTTCCCGGAGCCAACGAAATTTATTCCAGAAAGATTCCTCTTGAACGGCAAAGCTCATATCCCCGAATACTTCATACCGTTCGGAGTCGGTCGTCGAGTTTGCTTGGGCGACCAGCTGGCCAGGATGGAACTCTTTCTCTTCTTCGCAAATCTGATGAACCATTACGATTTCATGCTGCCGGAAGGTGACGAGATGCCCGCTTTGGAGGGGTCCTTTGGTACTATCCATGCACCGCATCCTTACAGGATCATTTTCAAGAAGATACAGAATTAGTCTGACATTTAAAATACCGACGACGTAAGAGACGAAAATAACGACGATTATTTTAGTATTCTTGACCGAATTAATTGATACGTACCGTATTCATTGACGAAACAATTTTTTTCTCTCGAATAATTGTGGTATGATATTGAACATCATTTTTACTTGGTGAATATATTACGTATAACTTAATTTCGGAGGCGTCGGTTACATTTTCTCTGTTATGGAGAAGCTTAGATATTAATTTTCCTTCTTTTTCATTTTTTTACTATTTTGACTAACATGTAATCGATAGAATTAAGTTTTTTTTATAATTTTGATTTTTTTCTTATTAGTTATAAGATTTGAACTTTAGGATTATATTCCTACATTATTGTATCGAATTCTACGGAATTTTTTAGTATTTTTTTTTATAATTTCGATTCTACTTATTAGGTGTAAGTGATGTTCTGACTTCTAGGACTTATTGATTTGTATTCGTGTGTGTCCATTAGTTTTAAGATTTTCATGATTTTGACATTTCTTTAGGTAATACTTACTAGTTTTAAGATTATGATACCGTCCTGAAACAAAGACGTGTTCTTCCAGTTAATTTTAATTATGACTACATTTATTTTTTTCATTAAATTTACCTTAATTATAATTTTTACGGCTTTTCTTTCAAGAAATTGAAAGCAAAAGCCTCGTACTTAATAAATTTTGATCATATGCATGCTGCGGTTTTATTTTTTGCATAACCCCCTCGTCTACATTATAGTTATATATGGAACGTGTTGAATTTGTTCCTTGTTCATCACACAAGTAGTCGCTTACAATCTGCCCTTTTTGAACTTCACACAAATGACACAATGAGCACAAATGCCGGTTTTTTTTTTATAAAAATATTCTAAGGGCAACGAACAGATTATTATAGGAATTTCAATGAAGTAATGCTGTTGACCTTCAAATTTAGAATTCAAAGTACAAAAGGGAGGCATTCAGTGATTCCACGTTATATTTTAATCGATGTGACCTTACATGACAAGTTCAAGGATTTAAGGTGCAGTCCCTATGAGAATTTAAAAAATACTTTTTCGTTACTATGAATATTTTTAACAAATTAATAAATACGTTACTTTTGTAAATGTATTTATAGTGAAGCTGTTAGATACGTAAAAAGCATTCCTTAAGTTTGCACGGTTTAAAATGAGCATTACAGTATTTTAAAATACCTTATATTGGACTAGGGTACTTTTTTATTACATACATACTATAAAAATTAGGGGGGGAAAAAAAAAAAAAAAAAAAAAAAAAAAAAATACGCTAACGAAAATTAACTCTACACTTTAACGGTTTAAAACGCGATATATTAGTTAAAATTATTTGAAAATGATTTTTAACTAAGTTTCAAATAAGTTTAACCAATATATCGCGTTTTAAACCGTTAAAGTGTTTTATTTAAATGTGTACTACTCGCGTAAACTATAGACAGTATTACTAGACAATAAAGAAACAAACAAACTATAGACGAAATAAACTCTAATTTTCTACTACCAGAAAAAATAAAAATGGGACTGCCGTTTAAGTTTACACGTGTAGATCAGCGCCTGGACCAAAACAAGGTCAAACAGGGATGAATAGTCCCCGGCCCTGCGCCCGAGCGTGACGTCAGCTCTAACCTCCGTTTTATTCAATTAGTCCACCTAAAAAAAGATTCTCATCAAACGTCGTGGCATTGACAATTTATTTATTTAAATAATTACATAATACGTTCTATTTTTATCATATGAGACAACACTGGAATTATTATACAATTCTTAGGTATATTGTACAGAAACTTAGATGTTCTAATCTATACTAATATTATAGGGCTCTAGAGTTTGTTTGTTTGAATACGCTAATCTCAGAAACTACTGGTTATAATTGAAAAATTATGTTTGTGTTGGTTGTGACAGTTAAAAAAAAAAGGGGGAAAGTTGTTCAATGTATCATAAAATGTCCGCGGGGGTATATATCTATATTTTAAGATTAACTCACATGAACCGCTTTTATAGAAATCAACTTTTGATCTAAATGCTTCATATGGCAAATAAACGTTTTGCCTGGTCAACTAGTACTCAATATAATAGAAATTATAATCAATTGCTAGTTATCTAATCAATTTTAAGTAAATAAGCCTTATAGTTTAGAAAGTTGGAATATTGACAATCTTTGAAAAAAGTTAGGACCTCAAATGAAGTAACTTAGTAATAAAAATAATCGAATAAAACACATCATTTTTGATTTTGTAAAAAATTTAGGTACATAATATTTTCGAAGATTAATATGCGAAACGCCACCTCTTCGTAAAAATAATAAAAGTTAGAAACATACATTATTTCTAACTCATCTTGAAGTAAATATTTCCAACTAAGTATCTTATTAATGCGCTTCTAATGACAATTATTTTTCAAACCGGCTCGTCATTAGTTTTACGAAATATAATACGTCGATCGAAATCTTCCTCTTGCATGTTACGATATTATTATTTATCTATTACGACTCCACGATCGTTGCTAGGTAAAATGTCTTCAGAGGTCGTTTAAGTTAAATATTGTTATGAAAGCGTGCGAAATTAAATGACGTTAGTGACCTTACGCACAGCGTGTTTCGCAAGGGCCAAGCTCTTACACAATTTATCAACGCTCTTAGACTATTGTATTTCGGCAGTAAAAATTTGAGTATTCGAATTCAGTGAGCGTTCTCTGTGGTAACATGGAACCCTTAGAATTTTTAGTCTATAAGGGCTAACGCATAATGTATTCTTGTTGCTATAGTCTGTGGCGAAATGTCAAGCGTTGCCAAACTACATAATCGTCCTCTCGTGTATTAAAGTCAAGGTCATCGTATAAAAGTGTGTGCATTGCAAAATTTATGGATTCGTAAACTACTAGACACGTTTGTGTCTATTTTGGACATAATAAATCTTTTATTCGTTATATTTTTCAATTTAAAATTAAAGTTACAACCGAAAAATGTTCCACGGCTAGACGACACATGCATTCCTTACCATAGTAAGGATTGATTAAAATACTATAATAATAGTATTTAACCTATATTATAATATAGGATTGATTAAAATACTCAATAATCAATCACTAATACCGCCTGATCAATATCCCGACTAGTACAAAAAAAAATTGTATACAAATATTTACCTAGACATTTCCGATTATTTACAGCAGGTCTTAGCGGGACTGAAGTTCTAATGTCAAAGTCTATCTGCTGCGCTAGGTCCATTTGTTTCTCGTAATTTGGTGTTTGGAGGAACCAGCTGGGTCCTAAAAGAACCTGACTCACGATGTCCTCTCGGTGACCACGGCTGGTGCAAAGCATCGGAGACGTTGGGTGGTAGCTTAAATAAATCTTAATAAGTAAATTTACGTAAAAAGTGTTTTAAATTATGAACGACCTAACCTTTAACGACTTAAAGGTATCAGGGATTATATATATGAATATTATATAACCATATGTATATATAAAACAAACCCCAGTGATCCGAAATGCTATCGTTTATGCATACAACTCGTAACCGGGTCAATGGCGTATACTTATCATTAAAGAGATGTTCTCGGGCACTCTTCAGGGTTCTAGATCGAGCTAATCTAGTCATGTACTGTAATCAATCTACGCACGTGAAGCTACACGTGACAATTAATATAACGAAATGCATATAATCAGCACTACAATTGACCCAGAATAATTGCTGCGTATATATCGTGATGCGTTTTAGTAACTCACGATTACGGCGCATGATTCGACAAAACTGTTTTTTTTATTGTAAATTTAAAAAATTTACGACTCGAGCAGCACTGAACCGGCGTCCTCAACTTTCCGTGCTGTTACTCTGACCGATTGAGCTACCGAGTCCACAGAGCTATAGCACGGAACGCTATGGATGGCGTTTCAAGTCCTGCTCGAGTCAGTTTATAATAGATTTTTAAAATTATGTTCATGTTAAAGATATTAATGTTCTCAAACTGTTTTTTTAATATAATCTATGGCGGTATAGACCGCCAATTTCGATAAGCACAAGTCTTTTTCTAAACCCGGGGAAGCTAATAATATAGCGGGCATGAGCAGGTCTAATGTACTTATATCTGTAAATAAGTTCACAAATGTGTCCGTAGAGGACAAGGCTTTTCACTTTTTTTTAACATACAACTCTGTGTATTGTATCCGTTTCTTTGTTATAATGTATTCGATTATTCTTTTTTCTCTCTCTATTTTAATTTTTACTCATTAATTATTTCAATAAAAAACTTTTAATAGTTTTTAATTCGAAATGTATTAGTTAATTTATTTACAATTTAGTTTAACTCACCCACTTTAACTAACCCACCCTCGATCCTCCTTAGGGACATCCTCCATCTTCAGTCACCCCGTGACCACAACTGTATGTTAATTTATTTGTTTCTATACAGAGTAGTTTGTATTGTATACACTATTTATACTGTTGTATGAGTTTATTGCACCTGTAAACAAAATTATTTGATTCAGCGAAGTTTTAGTAACGTGACGTAATTACATTTTATTTATTTTGTGTATACCTTACAAATTCATTAAATTATAATTTAATTGGTTCTTTTTTTTAAATTACATATGTCTTTGTTTTGTCTTTTATTATATTTTAACTGTACTACTATCTCTATATATACTATCTAATCACTACTTTAATTGTATTTTTATAAAACAAACACGAACTGAAATTTGGCCCATCTCTAATTACTATTAGGTGCATTACTGCATGCGCATGCGCCGACTTATGCAACTGCATGACGTCACAAGGATAATAGTTCTTGCCTTGACCTTAGAATAATGTCGGCGCCGCTCAGCGTCTGCGCGCACGCTTATGTAACCCATTCGCTAATCACATGCTCTCACAGGAAATGCAACAATATGCTTTACCTGCATAACATGTTCCTTCTAACCTTGCAATTGAGTAATTAATATCTTGACACAAATGAAGCTAAACAGACTTCAAGGAATTATGC